TTTTTCATTGAGGCCTGAGAATTAAATTGGGATTAGACTTCTATGCATTCTATTAATAGAATGAATACATGCACATTTATTGAATGCAAGTTTTATGTGCCTTCATAGGCAGTGAAAGCCCAGTGATGAGCTGGACTTGAACAGTTAAATTCTGAACTGTACACAGTACTAAAATGTGGTAAGACAAAGGTAGTTAACTGGATGAAGAGGAGGCTGGCAAGGTGAGAGATTAACAAGGGTTTTTGTACAGATTTCCCTTGCCCTCAACTTGTTTTTTTGAGACAGGGTCTCACTGTGTAGTCTCGGCTGGTCTTGAGCTCATGTGTAGCGTAGGCTGGCCTTGAGGTTGCTGTGACCCTCCTGCCTCAGCCTCCTGAATGCTGGGATTACCTGTTTACCCTGCCACACCTGGCAACCTCAGCCTGAATTTTTCTTCTTGATAAGAAGAAATGTTACTTTCCAGGGGGCTGGGGAGATAGCTCACTGGCTTAAGTACCTTGCTGGCAAGCACACAGTCCTGAGTTCAGTTCCGTGGTACCAAAAAAGAAAGAAAGAAAAGTGGATTCCAGGGAGATAGCTCAGTGGAATAAATGCTTGCCTGGCAAGCGCAAGGTCCTGAGTTCAATCCCTAGTACCACAAAAAAAAAAAAAAAAAGAATGAATGAATGAATGTTACTTTCTTTTTCGTATAGGCAGGGCGTTTTTCACCTAGCAGTTTCAATCTACTTTTAAGAAGCAGAAAGGCCTTGGCCTGCTGCCTGTGGAGTCCTTTCTATCCACAATCTGAACGCGCCAGAGCCGACATCAGGATGCTGTCTCCCTGTGCTTTTGCTTTCCCACGTTGCCCGGTCGCGGCCTTTCCAGGTTTATCGGCATCTGGGCTCTGTATGGCCCCTGAGTTCGTCCGGTGTGTCCAGTACTCCTAGACATTTTCCAAGGTCCCCACATCGGCCCCCAAAGTGGTGCGCTCTCCTGCCTCTTCCTCTTCACACCCTCCTCGGCCCTGGGAGCCCCTGCTGTCCAGACGGTCACCACTGCAGCAGTCTCTTTCCTCTTCGCCCACTGCGACCCATAGCCGGGTCTGGCCAGTTTTCCTACCTGAAGGGTTTTTTTGTCCCTCTTTAGTAATCGGAAGGAATGACTCTAAGGATACTGTGTAAAGAGAGTATTGCCGCCGGGTTCCGCCCTGGCGATCATTCCCTGAAAAGGAGAGAGAAAGGGAGGTGTCACAAATCCGTAGCTTCCACGATTGGAGGCTGTTATTCTGGAGTCAGAACATCCTCAAGTCACCTTGTGTCCGTAGAGTATGAATTGCTTTTAAAGAAATGACCTATTTTATTAAGTAGAGAAAAATATGCCCTGACAAAATTGGGTTTCCACCATAAACGTCTGATACAGTCAGCATGTGCGCCTAAGCCAGTTTGTATTCAGGGCTGGTTCACGTTGCCGGCAGTTGTGGCCTTTTCCTGCTCACAGGGTTTCCCGTGCAGTTCACCTCATGCACTGTGGGTGCTCAGCCGCGGGTGGGTGGGGGAGGGAAGGACACCGAGGGGGCAAGGAGGGGCGGAGGAGGGGAGGCCCTGGCTGAGCGTGCGGACCACACGTGTGCGCATGGCCGCAGCTGCGCTGCGCTTTTACTCCGTTCTCTGGGCGGAGCTCGAGGGGATGGCGAAGCCCTGCGCGCTCATGCCTCTACCTGGAAGCACTCAGAAATGGGGGAGGGGAGGACAAGGGTGGAGTGGGCCGTGTGTGCCGGTTGCCTGTTCTTCATCCTTTGGGGAGCTCTGGGCTTTTTGTTTGTTTTTGTCATTTTAAGACAGGGTCTTGCTCTGCAGCGCAGGCTACCCTTGAGCTCACTTTGTAGCCCAGGCTGGTCTCGCACTCACAGTGATCCTCCTGCCTCAGCCTCCTTGGTGCTGGGACTGCACGTCTGCCGCTCCATGCGCCGGCCAGAGCTCTGAGCCTGCGTCCCTATTCTTGCGTTTGTGTGGGCTATAATAAAGCTCGGGAGTGCCTAGTAGACCCTTTCCTGTCGTAGTGAGTTTGTCGGTGTTTGTTTTCATAACTGGGTTTGAAGTTTTTCTCGAACATTTTGAGGGGAAATCCTTGCCCTTTGGCCCCCGTACATATTGGTATGCATAGCAGAACACATGTTCAGCTGGGAGAATTGGCGCATGTGTGCATCTCCATCCTTCCTACTTCCCGTTCAGGGGAGATGTTTTAAACCGCTTCCTTAGCAGCTTTATACCACTAAACAGTAAGCTACTGTGTGCTTTTTAGGACCATTGACTTCATTATGTGACAAAGTGTGTGACTTCATTGGGCGGCGAATCCTATTTTGGCCTTTTTTTTATTTGGGAAGAGCTTCATGGTTTAATTCTGACAGTGATTTACATAGTCTGAAAGACTACAAGTTGGCATAGGTGTCTTCCGTGGCCTGATGCACAGGTTTCGGTGCGATAGTGACGTGGAAGGCACAGCAGTGCCTGTGTGGACCCAGATTCGACAGCTGCTAGATGTTGACAAGTGGAGAAGAGACAGCCTTTTGTAGTGGTATTGTGTTTATCCGCCTGCCCTCCCCCAAAAGTTATTTTTCTTTGAGCAGGGGAAGAGAAGGGAAATGGATGAGGCCGATGACCTCCCAGGCATCAGGTGCTGTGGAAGCTGTACAGTGCCACTCAGCAACCAAGGAGACCAAGGCTCTTGGCATCTTAACTAACCGCAGCCATCTGTGATAGACCCGCTACCTCTCCTCCACTGTGAACAACAAAACATCTAATTTAAAAATCTACACATTATTAAAAAATTTGAATTGTTATGAAGAAACTTTGCTGTTATATACAAAGTACAAGGGCTCTGCAAAGTGAGTGACGCTTGCTTTTCTCTTTTCATTCTTGCGAAATACAATCTCTCTTAGGTCCAACGGAGGATTAAAGAGTTGAACATTTTGAACTTCTTTCCTCTGTCAGCCAGCTGGCGTGTCTTCCTAGCAAAACATTTTCTGATTTGAGCACAGACCTTCAATCAGTCGTTACTGGTTTGAATAATAGAAAGAGCTGTCACAGTGGGCACCTGATCATGAAAACTGATAGCAGGAGTGCATTTTTATTTGGATTTAAAATGTTTTTACAATCCCAGTATAAACACTCTTTAATCTAGGGAAAACCTTTTCTCACAAGATCAAGGGCTTGCATACTTTTACATTAACTACTTATAGTCCACAGAATATGGATAAATTGTATATTTACACGTGGCAGGATCTTTATTTTAAATGGGAAGGCTAAAAACACTCGTAGGAATTCTTGAGATAAAACTGTAGTTCTGAGACTGCGACCAACTGGCTTCGGTTAGTACCACTTGGACGTTTTCTGGAGCGTGACCTTTGTGGGACTGGAAAGGAACATATCCAGCTTCGATGCAGTGCTGGGAAATGACAAATTTGCCTTAATGTTTGAGTTATGGATTCAGGGTTTTATAGTCACTGATTTTTTCTTGGTTGTTCGTTGAAGTAGTTTTCTAGACTATAGTTAATTTTTGGGTTCATGATGTAGCAGGGTCCTATCTTACAGAGACGGGAAGATTTTCATAGTTGTCTTCATAAGATGAGTAAGGAGCCTGTTATTTTGAGACAGTCTGGACACCTTGTCATAAACTGGAATAGTGAGTATCAAACGTGGCAGATTATCATGAAAGACATATCTGAAGGGTCAAAGGTATAGAAAATGACATGTAGTTTGTGTGTGTGGGTTTCGTTATGTTCTTCCCTGGGTGATGATGACATTCCAGTTTCATTCCTGTGAATTATGGCTCTTCTTCACTCCGACTCACCTTCAGGTGCAGTTAATAGGAAGATCTTGGTGTCAGCAGAACTAACATATTGAAGAGGCAGAGCTAGAGGACCGCTGTGGTGTATTTCATAGAACCACGCATGCACACTTAAGCATGTATTTTATTCATACTCCACTGGAAGGGAGTAGTTAGAATTTTTTACTGAGTTAAGGCTGGAAGTTTTGGAAGTCACCATTCTTAGTGTCCAGGGTAGGAATGTGGGAGAAGAATGCAGTAGTAAATAACAAGCAAGCAAACAGCCCCAACCACGTCTACAGAATGTATCCTGCAGAAATTAAGAAACTTAAAGATTTATGGGTAAGGTGTTGACCATAAGCCCTGATTGTTGGCTTTGGCTATGCCAGCAATGAAACATAATTTTAAAAAATTAATCTCTGTGACCATATTTTAAGACCAGTATTTGGCATATTTTGATATGTGGGAATTCTTTTATTTTATTTATTTGTGTGTGTGTGTGTGTGTGTGTGTGTGTGGCCAGCTCAGCCCACCAGGGGGCGGGGCTGGCTGGCATGTGGTGCTGGGGGATTGAACCGCGGTCCCTGTGCTTTGCTAAGCTTGTTCTAAGTAGGTGCTTTAGACCACTGAGCCATCTGACCAGCCCCTGGAATTCTTGATGGTAGTAACCATTTTAAATATTTTAAGGGATGAAAGATGCATTAGCTAAGAGGAAGTACCGTATTAACACTTTCCCAGTTTCCCGTTTAAATATTAAATGGGGGCCTGGCAGATGGCTCAGTAGAATAAGCGCTTGCCTGGCAAGTGCAGGGTCCTGAGTTCAATCCCTGGTACCACGAAATAAATGAATAAATAAAAATAAAATAAAATAAAAAATTTTAAAAATAAATAAATAAATATTAAGTGGTTCCCAGTCAGTAGTATTTCAATGCGTGGACTGCCCACCCATTCCTCCTCTCTGGGTAGAAGAAACAGCACAGATTGGGAGCTAAGACAGTGGCTATAGGAACATGACTGCCTGCCAGTTTCGTCTTGTGTAAATTTTCCTAATTGATCGTGTTTTCCAATATCATTGCTTTCTTAGACTGTACTGTAACACACTTGTCTTTGTATTCGCAGGGCAGTGCTACTCAATGAATATTCTGGCGCCCACTTTTATCCTTTTGTTTTTGTTTACTTTGGCATCATCTCTTTAGCACTACGGAGAATTTGCAGTCTTGCTCAGCGATGTCCTGATGACGTGGAAATACTTCCTGCATGAGAAACTGGACTTACCTGTTGAAAATATGGTAGTGGTTGACCGTTATGAGGACATTAAGAAGACTTATGAAGACTTCTTGAGGAATAGTAATATGCTAGATCTGATTGATGTTTATAAAAAATGTAGGATTTTGACTTCTAATTCTGAAAATAAAGACATTATAGGCCCTGTAAGTATTTTCTAAAGAAATTTTATATTTTAATGAAATGGAAGTTCAGCTAGATTTACTTTGATTTGAAACTATAGTATTACCAGGTTATTAATTTGATGCAGGTTATAGAGGGAGGGTAGAGATTATAGACTTTATTCTGTGTAGTAATGTGAAGGGATAGAAACCAGAACTCTAGTAATTTGATAATGTTTTTGCCTTTAGGATCATGTTGAGAATGGAAAATTTAGTTATCTGGAGCTTGTTATTACTTGAAAGAAATATTTTAGTGAGAATTTTTTTGGCATTGTGTTCGTACATTTGGAGGATGGAAGGATTGTCTCCATCCTTATTTAACTGCAGTTCATTATTTAGTTAATTTTAATTGTCATCTAAATGCTAATTTAACAACATCTAAGTAGTATGTCCCAAAAGAGTAGAACGTAAGAATCTCAAAAGGAATGTAATTGTTTTATCAGTGAAATGAAAGGCGGATTTATGAGAACCTGGCAGGGGATCATGGTAACCTGTAGGTTTTAGCAGCAGACATAGGCAGGAGGAGGAAGGGAAACGGCTTTGCTGTCTTCGAGGACACGGAGAGAATCTGGGGAAGAGAAGGGATTCTGTGAGTCAAAACAAAGGGCCGAGGCTTTTATGGCCTTTTGGCAGGGGTGGAGTTTGAGGGGGATGTTTAGATATACCTGAGGAGCCGATTGGCGGCTCCCCTGAGGCAGCCGGAAGGGCGAGAGGAAATTGCACCCTGGGCTGAGTTGGAGCAGAAGTGGGAGGTGGTCTCAGGGAAGATAAGCTGTTGACCAACATAATAATTCAGCAGTTCACACTAGGGCCAGAACCTATCAGTGACATCTCTTATGAAGCGCTCTGCATATACTTAAGGACGTAGTGTCGGGGAATGTCTACTCTGGGCACTGGAGCAGTGTAGAGTCGACGGAGCTTGGTTGAGTAATACCCTGTGTCCCACAGATTCATCTGCGTGATTTCCTGTCGGGCGGAGAGTGTGAAGGAGATGAGGAAGCCCGTCTTTCTACCCCAGCATCACCCCTGAACTGCAGGCAGGAGGATGCCAAGGTATTGATGAGTTATGAGCAGATTAAAGCAGGCTGTGGTCCCCTTCAGATCATCAGGAATCGAGCGAGTAGTTTAGTAGAATTGTTCAAGCTTTGTTCTTTTAAAATTTTTGCAGGTTTTAAAACTTTTAAAGTAAAACTGCTTATAAAGATGAATACTTGACTGGGAAGAGTGTGACAATAACAGGGTGTTCATGATTTTTTTTTGTATTTTAGTAAGGGCCTACAGGGTCTTACTATGTAGATCGACTTGTAGTGATCTGCCTGTGTTCAGCCTCCCAAGAGCTGGGATTACAGGCTTGTGCCACCATGCCCAGTCTTTCTTTGGTCTTTTTGAGACAGTCTTGCTGTGTAGTCCAAACTGACCTGAACTCTGGTAGCCCAGGCTGGCCCAAACCTCGCAGCAGTCCCCCTGCCTCAGTGTCCTGAGTGCTGGATTACAAGTGTGCAGCGCCACACCTCCCGGCACTCAGGACTCCTGAGCCACAGTGACTGGCATGAGCAAAACAGGCATTGTTCAGAATACTGGAGAAGCGATTGAAAGTCAAGTTCTCAGGTCTCTGCGTCTTTCTACTTAGTAAGCTTGGGTTTACTGTTCTAGATGCTTGAGTCTTGGGTGACAGCATTCATTTAAGCAGTCAGGTCTGTGCCCTTTGCAGAAGTACCACGGATGCACCGAGGGGGGTGTTACCAGGCTTTATGTGCCGGCAACCGCAGGAAAGTGGTGTTGCTTTCAGGTTTAACTGTAATCTACTTCCCACTTACTGTGTGCTGGGCATCTAATTACACACGGTAAACCTCACTAACCGTGGAATTATGCTTATGAACGTTTTGTGATTCAACCACCATTGATAGGATATGAGTGTAAGAGTTTCAGAAAAAGAACAGTACAACTATATTCAATATATTTTTAAAATAGCAGTAGTCTCTCACTATTTCACGGTTCAACTTTCACAGACTCACTATTTCATAGGTTTTAAAAAAATGTTACTCTAAATTATTTATCGTGAATATTTTACTACATCATGGGATATTGCAGTGCTGTACAGTATATATATATATATATATGTATATATATATATTTATTTAAAACTATATAGATTTACGAGTTCAGAAAATGGTTAAGAACTTTTTAAGTGTTTTTAAAAGTGTGGGAAAGGTTTATAAGAGTGTGGGAAGGGTGTATAAAGCCTTAAAATATATATTAAATACTAAAATAAATATAACATCACTACTTGGCTGGTCCTCACTTGTCGCGGGGGTGTCTGGCGCGCAGCCTCCGCTCTAAGTGAGGACCGCTGTATCATACCGCTGTGTAAAAGCTCTAGAATGCACTTATTCTTTATAATGAACACACTGCATACCTTCTTCCTAGTGGATAATTGCTGTACAAGATGCCGACATGATATCCTATTTACAAACTCTTATTAGAACAAATTCCTCTATTCATTAAGAGAATGTAACTATGTATCTATCTTAACCATTTTGAATACACAGACACAAAATGGTCATTCATCTGTATCCCTTTTTTTGTTTAGTTCCATCATTTGAATATTATGGCTCTGTTAACTCAGCAAAATATTCTAAAAAAGTCCAGTAGTCCATAATAGTATTGGGTCTTCTGCTTCACTGACAGTGTCAGAAATTGTTGACCTGAGTCCCCTACAGCTCAACATAACAGCATGGCTTTACTTCTTATACTTTGTTTTTATACTTTTCTGTTGGATGGTTAAGACGAAGGTAAAGCAGGACCTATGCAACAAGAGTTGTAGTTTTTGGGTCTGATAAGGTCAGTGAAGTCCCCTCAGGATTTATCCTGAGATCCTGTACCTCAGATTGCAGAACCTTTGTCAGTGTCAGCCCTGTGGATGAGTCACGGCCATTGCTTGGCCAATGTAGAATGCACTTATTTTTAATAACGCCAGCTACTCTAGAATGTGAACACATTTGGTAAGTTACCATTTTGATTTTTTAGGAAACATTACTGGGATAGAGTCTCCTCTAAATCCATGTTGTTTTGATTGTACTTCTTTTATCACTGCTTTCAAATAAATATTCATGCTCCCACTTCTTGGATTTTTGTTGTTGTTGTCTGGCCCAACCCACCCTGAGGGCGGGCCTGGCGCAGCATGTGGTGTCAGGGATCGAACTATGGTCCCTGTGGTTGCCTAAGCTTTGCCTACACAGGTGCTTTAGACCACTGAGCTATCTCACTGGCCCAATTGTTGGATTTAATAATGTGACTTTTGTCTGTATCTAATTTTTCTCTGTGTTCTTTGAAAGTAAATTGCCAACATGCTTAGGAGGCTGAAAACAGGAGGATCATTATGAGTCCAGTCTGTGTAGTGAAACCTGATAGGCCCTGTACTAAAATATAACAACAAAAAAAATTCACATTTGGTTTTCTTGTCTCTTTAGATACTTTTTGTGTGTAAAATTCTTTTTTTTTTCCTCTCTTTGTCTGATGCATACTCTACATTTTTTTGTTTTGTTTTGCTTTTGTCTTTTTTTTTTTTTTTTTTTTGTGGTCCTGGGGACTGTAGACCTACAACCTTTGCCCAGAGCAACAACTCCATCCCCGTTTTGTTTTTTATTTGGAGACAAGATCTCGCTAAATTATCAGACTACCTGCAGTGGGCTCAAACTTGTGATCCTCCTGGCTCCTCCCAGAGGCTGAGTCATAGGCCTGAGCCAACATGCTGGTCATCTGGTGTTATTGAACTTGCTTCACTGGTTGCTACAAGAAGCTGAAAATTAAAAGTTTGGATTTGGCTTCACAATTTTTAAGAAGTCCTGCATAATGGATGGTGAGCGCCTTGTGGTGTGGCAGGAGGAGGCGCAGACCTAGGCCGTCCTGGGCTCTGAGCTCTCCCCGCTGCACGGGGTGGCTGGCCCTCCTCTCTCTGTGCACCTCTGCAAGGGGCACTCTAGTGGCCTGACTGTCCTCTTCTCCGCTGGCCTTTCCCCTCATGCCTCCGTGTGCATGCCCATGACCCCTGCCTGCACCCAATACTGGGCATCTAGAATGGTGAGTTCCTGATTCCGTCACCTCTCCATGACTTACTTGCTAGTTCTTAGTGAAGGAAAGCTTTATTCTGTCAAGTAGGATCAAGAACAGTTCTCTAAAACTGTCATGGTCACTACCTAATTCTTGTTACTAATTTAGGAGTTGGTACAATAGACATAAGCAAGAGACAAATTACGTTTTTGTCTAGCTTTCTCCTTTGTGTGTGTGTAAATTGCTAAGGATCGTGAGTTTTTGTTCAGTCAGTGTTTTGCAGTTGGTCCCTATCTTGTGATGCTGAAGTAGAGGGAGCACTGTAAGGGACTCGCTGGGTCTCTTTTAGTGCATCTTGTTAGACTTCTCAGTTAATTTGGTTGGTGCGCTTTTGGTATTCCTACTGGTCACGTTCATGGCGGGGAGCTTGTACCTGCACACGATGCCTCTTTTTTCCCCATTTCACTCTCCTGACCTGGCATTTCTTTTCTTCTTTCTGGTATAAGCGAATATCCCAAACCCATCTTGCCTGTGTCCTGCCCAGGCCTCTAGGCCCCTTTTTTACCTTCCTAGTATACCTGTCTGAAACAGTCATCTCCTTTGACGTTTGGGAGAAGTGACAGTTTTCTAAGAACCAAAGCAGACAAAAAGGGATGTTTACGTTGTGATGAGGAGCCTTCTTCAGTTTCTAATAGTTAAACACACTGTTCACTGTATTTCTGCTCTTCAAAAATAAGGACTTCCTGCATAGCACGTATATACCCGATCCTAGCGGGACAAAACCCGAGCTTGTGCGACCTCGTCTCCAGCTTGCTCTTCAGGGCCAGCAGAGGCTCCTGCCCTGATCTGGGTGAACGTCGGGGAAGCATCGCGGCGTCCTCACGGGTGGGGCGGCCCCGAACTCAGGGCTGCCAGTGGGCTCTGTCCCAGTAATTGTGGTCGGATAACATGGCACTTATGGTTTCCCCGCTCTTGTGTGTGCAAGTGGGTTTTAAAGAGGCTGTCTGGGGACACAGTGCACATAACTAAGGTCACATCTAGAAGCGAGGGCCTAGGCTGGAAAAATCCACCAAACTGATATAACCAGGATACCAGAAGAAGGGCGCTGTCATGTGTAATAAACTGATTCTGTCTGTACCACAAAGTGGTCTTGGTGTTTGTTTAGAGACTGGACAATTATATTAAGCTTTCTGTAGTTCCAAGTTTCTTTTCCTACCCCTAATTCTTACTGAGATATAAATATTTAATCTCAGCTTGAAGAAAGTCAGTTTTTTTGCTTTTTGTGGTCGGCTCAGCCCACCCTGGGGACGGGGCTGGCATAGCATGTGGTGCTGGGGATTGAACTGTGGTCGCTGCGCTTTGCCTAAGCTTGCCTAAGCAGGCGCTTTAGACTGCTGAGCTATCTCACAGCTCTAAGAAAGTCAGTTTTCTAAACTGAAAAAGCTTATAATTTGTATAACTATTTTTTACTTAATATATAATGATCCCTAGAAATTGAACTCTCTTCCTATTCTTGCTCTTCAGTTGAAATGGTAAGAGCAGGAGATTTCCATACAAGGAATTTAAAATTTTAATGAAATCAAGTTTATCCATTTTTTCTTTCCTGGATTTTGCTTTACGTATAGGAACTTTTTGCCTAATTCTAGGACTTGAAAATCTTTCATATCGTCTCCTATATTTTGTTGTGTTTTATAGCCTCACATGGTACAACTGTGATCCACTTGGAGTTCCTTTTTATTAGTGGTGTGTGAAGTTTTGGCTGAGGTTTGTTTTGCATATGTACAGCCAGTTTGTCCTATATTAATTATTTTTGTCCAACATTAATTATTAAAACATTTTTCTGTTTCTTTTACACTGCTGTCTAAAAATTACATCACCTCATCTGTATCCGTCTGTTTCGGATCTCTGTTCTGTAGCGTTGCACCGGTGTGTAGTTTCATAAATGTCCCTCTCTCTTGATTATTTTAGTTGAGCACTCGCTCTCGAGGCCATTTGCCAGCGTATCATCGTGTGTCCAGCGTCTCTTGTTGTGTCGGCTTTCTCCTTCCTCCCGCAGGTAACACGGTGTTGCTCTGACTGCTCTCACAGTGTGCTGACATCTTTCTTGTTAGGGTTGGATGCCAGTGTGCGCAGGAATGATTCTCCCTGCATTTTTCCTATAGGAGTAGCTTCTAGGTTACCGTTTGCAGTTTTGGATATGTTGAGGTATAATTTCATCTCCACTTTTTTTCTAGTCCTCTCATACCTCTTCAGGGATTCCAATTATCTGAATATTGGACTTGCTTAAATTGTCTCTTGGATCGCTTTGGTTTTTTAAAAATCATTTTTGTTCTTGATTTTTCAGATTTGGCGATTTCTTTTGATGTATCCTGTCCAACATGCTTTCTTTCATTCTCTCCAGATTGCTATAGAGTCTGTACAGCAAGGTTTTACTTATTGTACTTTTTAGCCCTAAAATTTACTTCTATATGGCATCTACTTTTCTGATCACATATCTTTTGTTATTTTTATTTTTTGTGAGACAGAATCTCACTATGTTGTTTAGGCTGACCTTGAACTCACAGTGATCCTCCCGCCTCGGTCTCCTACGTTTATTACAGGCGGATGCTCCCACCCCTGGGTTCTGTTACTTTATTGATAGCATACATACTTTAATTCATTGAACATTTTCTTGTGTAACTCCTTGGCGTAATTTGTAATGGTTGTCTTGATGTGATGTTTGCCCACCCAGTGTCTAGGTCTCCTTGGTGACAGTTTCTGTTGAGTGTTTTTTATCCTGGATTGGGTGATATGTTTGTTTTTCTTTGGTGAGTTTTGGATGAAACATTACAGATAACAGTTTATAATGACTCTGAATTCTGCTGTTTCTCCTGAGAAATACCTTCTTCTGTTCTAGCAGACAATTTGCTTGCCCAGATGCCAGTGTCTTGTCTCGTCTCGTCTGCCTGTTGCTGTGGAGCTGCTGGTATCCATTCTCGCGGCTCCCTTTGTTGCTTTTTTAACCTGGCTTTTGTAGGTCACCCTTTTGCTTACTAAACTTGGTGGTCTGCAAGGATGGCACTTATTCTCTCAGCAGCTTCCTTTTTCCCTAAGAATCTGCCGTTTCTCCCTCGTGTGGGCTCTGACCCTGGCATGTCAGGCCTGCTCGACTTCAGGTTTTGCTACTTCAGCTCTGCAGTTGTGTGACGCACTGGGCCAAGCAAACCCTCAGGCTCACGTCTCTGGCTCTTTGTAGCTCAGTCTTCGCAGAACAGATTTCTTTCTGATTCGTGCCCATGTTTGATGGACCCCCAGGGTGTCTTCCCTGCTGTGTAGGTTGGCTGCCAGCCATTTGAGCTGTTTATGTTCTGAATTGTGCCCGAGATTTCCCCGTGTGTTTCTCCCTACTTTTCCAGCCCTGAACCCTGATCTCTGGCCCCTCCCCTGTGTTCTGTCACCATAGCACGGGCTTGGGCAGACTCTCGGGTCAGTAAACCACAAACTTAATTCAGACCCTTCTTGTTGAAGTTATTTTAAAATTGAAATTTCCTCCAGCTTTGTCTGCCTTTTGAACACTTTCCAGTGTCATTAAATTGTATTTTGAAATGTTTATTTACTATTTCAAAATTGTTATCTCCAGAATCCACATGATTACTTACTTCCCAATTACTGGAAGTTGCAGGGCCTCAAATAATCATAAAATTACAATTTTTAATTCTCATTGTTGGCTACTTTCAAATCCCCATCTTGTGTCTGCTTTTTGGGTATTTTCCGGTGTTTTTATTGGTTACGTTTTTAAAAATTTCCCAATAATTTGTAGTAGTTATCTGTGGGGTTCACATAATAGCTTTCCTTTAATACTGGAAGTTGCTATAAATAGTTAATTTTAAGAAAAAGATCATTAAATGTCTTGGTGTATCACCTGACGCTGAAGAATACGCGCAGTCTGTGTGGGAGGCCCAGGTCCTCCAAGCCTGCTGCGCGACTGTGGTGCGTAGTTCGGCTTAAGCCGCCCTGTCACCCTCGGTGCACGATGGTGCTTCCTCAGCGTTGGGCTGATTCCCTTCATTTTGATCTTTGGGCAATTATTTGACATTATCAAAGTCAGAATGTAGTAGTTCTCACAAGTTTAAATGTTTAACTTTAGCCCTTATACCTGGCATTGTAAGGGATGTGGATTTTGGGATAGAGCCGGTTGGCTCATGCTGTTAGCTATTGGGAACTTTATCAAAAATGCAGATTTGAATGGTATTGTTTGTATCATTTGCTAAGAATAGCTTTCTAACAGTTAGGCTAGCTGTTACTTACTCATGGTGTCTTATTGGCGCTGAGTTGATGAGAAAGAATGTGCTGATTGTCTGATCTAAGTTTCAATCTATGTGACAATTTTTTTTTTTACAATTTTCTTAAAGAACTGTAAAGTATTGTTCTTTTTGTTTTGTGTTTTGTGTATTTGGTACAGGGCTTCACTGTGCAGCATGGACACATAGGGGTCTTCCTATTTTCAGCCTCCCCAGTGGATTATGGGCATGCACTATGATGCCTGCTCCTGGTGGCTAGCTTGGCACGCATGGGGCGGGGCTGGTGCCACATGTGGTGCTGGGATTGAACCCCAGTCCCTGTGCCTGCGTGAACAGGCGCTTAGTTGGCTGAGCTATCTTGCTGGCCCAAGAGCTGTAAAGCATTGTGATGGAATGATTATGTATTTTTTTACAGCTTATAAAATTGATTATGGATTTAGTACTGCTTATAAAATTGATTATGGATTTAAAACAACTTCAAGAAGGAAAATAACTAGATACTTTGTTGTGCAGGAGAAGCTACTAGCAAGGACAGTTTTCTTTTCATATTTAAACCTGCTGGTGAACTCCAAGAATGACCTGGCACTGGCTCATATTCTCAATATTCCCGACAGAGGGCTGGGGAGAGATGCCTTCACTGACTTGAAGCACGCTGCTCGAGAGAAGCAGATGTCTATCTTTTTGGTATGGATGTATTGTTTATTTATTTTCTGGCTGTGTTATATTTTTGAGATTAAGAGTCCTTAAGCAGCAGGCCTACATATCTTAAAAAAGACTTCCTGTAACTATGGTGAAACACTAAGTGATTAATCTATGTTCCGTGTATAAAAAACCACATTATTATTATCATTAGTATTGCTATTTTTACTGTATTCTTGAAGCTCACAAGGGAAGATATCCCTAAAGCAGTATTCCCACATGTGTCCTATAGGGTGCCACCTCGGTAAATTCTCCTTGCCCCAGACCCAGTGTTTCCAGAGGCAGAAGTCTGGCTGTGGTTTGTATCTTGTTGCTCGTCCATAGCGTGTGTTTGCTCTCTGGAGTGCCAAGACAGCCTGCTGTAGAGAAGTCTGCTTGCTCAGGAACCAGGCAGGATGTCTGTGCCAAAGGATGCCAACAGGAAAGGAAAGTCAGATTATCCTTGTTTGTGGATGTTATCCTGTGCTTAGAGGACCCTAAAGATTATATCAAAAGACTTTTAGAGCTGATAAATGAAGTCAGCAGAGTAGAAAGATGTAAAAGTCAACGCTTTTAATCTACACTCAAAATGAACAGAGATAGAAATCAGGAAAGCAGTTCCATTCACAATCACTTGAAATAAAATAAAATCTTAGGGATTGGTCTAACCGAGGAGAAGGACCTCTGCACTGAAAATTTCAAAATAGTGAAGAAGGAATGGAAGACCCTAGAAGTTGGAAAACCACCCATATTCATGATTGGTAGACTTAGTATTGTTAACCTGGCCATTTTGCCAAAAGCAATCTACATATTCAATGCATTTTTCATCAAAATACCGATAACATTCTTTGCCTAATTAAACACTAAAATTCCTATAGAAGCACCCCAAAGCAAAAAGAGCAAAGCTGAGGGCTTCACATTTCTGATTTCTAAAGGTACTACAAAGCCATGGTGACAAAAACCACATGGTAAGGCACAAAAAGAGATACATAGACTAATAGAATAGAAAGAGGACACAGAAACACAGTTATAGCTATGTGATTCTCGAAAAAATGACCAAAGGGAGGTGTTAGAGAGGAGACATGCTCTTCAAAACATGCTGGGAAAACTGGATGTCCACCTGAGGGAGACTGAGCTAGATCCTTATTGCTCACCTGCTACGAAATGCAGTTCAAATGGCCTGGGTATAGGACCGGAAACTTTGGAACAGCTGAAAGGAAGGGTAGGAAGCACTTGCAGCCTAGGTTCGGGCAAGGACTTCCAGGGAATTGCTTATTCCACTGAGCCATCTCCCCAGCCCCTGGGCAAGGACTTCCTAGCTAGGAAGCCTGGAGAGTGTGGGAAGTAATAGGAAGAATAAAAAGTGGGGCTGCGTCAGATGGAAGGAAGAGGCCTCTTGTCTTCCAACTGAAGGTTGATATTTAAAATATATAAAGAACTAAAAAAACAAATAGTGCACTTCATAAATAGGCAAGTGGATTGAACAGATCCATCTCAGAAGTACAAATGACCAATAAGTATATGAAAAAAGTGTTCAGCATCTTTAGCCAATAGCAGTAGGATTTTTACATTTTTTTGATGATAGCAGGAATTGAACTCAAGACCTTGTACTTGCCAGGCAGATACTGCGCGGCTGAGCTAACTCCCTGGCTCCTCCATTAGCAGAATACAAATCAAAACTATGTTGTGATTCCATCTCACCCTAGTCTGATTGGCTAACAAAAAAATACAGAATATAATGACTACCGGTGAGGAGGTGGGGAAAAGGAATTGTTCTACATGCTGGTAGAAAGTAAATTAGTACAGCCACTGTGGAAATCTGTGTGGATTCCTCAAAGGACTAAAACTAGAGCTCCCCTGTAGGTACCTGTATGGGGGGTTAAGGCCAGCTTTGTATAGGGTAGCTGAATGCCCATGTTTACTGTGGCACAGTGCACAGTGGCCAAGATAGGGGACATCTGTGCCTGTGAGCAGATGAGTGGGTGGGGAACATGTGCACAGTGGGCGCACACAGCGGAGCTTCGTTCAGCCATGAGCAGCACGGGCTCTGTCATTCATAGGCAAGTAAATGGACCTGCGGACATCGTGTTGGGTAAAACAGCGGACACAGAATGAGGCTTACATGCTTTCCATAGCATGTGGAATCTAAGATGGAGGGGAGAGAGTACAAGGGAAGCTGCTATTCGGCGGGAGGAAGGAATGGTGGGGAGAAGGGTGTGTGGTGGAGGGGCTGAGCAGCACACACCCTCTGTACCCCGGGAACAGCCGGCGCGCCGGGCGAGTGAAGACAATCGCAGCAGGCTGTGTGCATGTGGGGAGCTGCCGAGAGGAAACCCGCTGGGCTGTGACCACTGAGAATGTGAAAGACTTTGAGAACAAAAAATAGATGAAAAAGAAATCTGCTTATAACTTATAAGAAGTTTACCTTGTTATTGAGCGTTGTTTGTTAAGATCTTTGACCATGGAACTTTCCCCCAAGTTTTTGACATTTTGTAGTCTGTGTTAGGATAACACTTTGGAAAACACTGCTTTAGATCACTGGATCTTTGAGACAGACAGGGCCTTTTAACGTGCGTGATCCCGCAGTCTGGGGCGGGAGCTGATGGACTTATCTACTGTACCTCTGCGTTTTACAAGAAAGGTAAAATAAGAGTTTGGGAGTGTTGGATCCATTCACCCATTTAACACTAGTGATCAGCTGACACTGAAGACGACTTTGTCCTGAATGGCAGTCCCCGAAGTCAGCAGCCTGAGCGAGAAGACGTCCGTAACAAGTTCTTCGCGGTCAGTGATCCAGGCTGACGAGTACGGATCTTTCCGTTTGTGCTTCGTTTCTTCCCTCACTTGCCCCCTCAGCCCGGGCCTTGGTGCATTGTTGCCGCCACCCTTGCTGGGGTGGGTTCCACGGGGTGCTTGTTTCTGTGGCTCTTTGCCCTGCAGTCAAAGCTGCCTCAGCTTTGCAGAGAACATGGTTGTTTTCACTTGCTATGCCGCTGACCACGACTAAACCATGTGCGTTCACTCACAGGTGGCCACGTCTTTTATTAGAAGTATCGAGCTTGGAGGGAAAGGCTATGCACCCTCGCCTTCTGACCCGCTCAGGACGCATGTGAAGGGATTGTCTAATTTTATTAATTTAATTGACAAACTACATGAGATTCTTGGAGAAGAGCCAAACCCAAGGTAATACCCTTTCATGAACTACTGATGTGTTACTGTTCTGTCTTGGAATGTCACAGAAGCACAGGTAAGAATGAGAGAGACCTTGTAATGGCTATGCAGCAGCTAGAATGGTAGGGAGAAGAAACAAACTATTGGGATGAATACATTTTATTTTAGTTTTTTTTTAATTAAAAGATTTTTTTGAAAAATGTATTTGGTACAGGGTCTCACTATACAGCTGGGACCTGTAGTAATCCTCCTGTTTTCAGCCTCTCCAGGGCTGGGATTACAGGTGTGTGATACCACGCCTGGACTCCGTGGCAGGCTCAGTGTGCCCGAGGCTGGGGCTAGCGTGGCATGTGGTGTGGGGGATCAAAGCCCGGTCCCTACACTTGCCTAAGTAGGTGCTTAGTCTGCTGAGCTCTCTCGCTGGGCCCTGGATGAATAAATTGTAATTGTCTGATTTTCCCCCTAAGTTTTTGCCTTGCCATGGTCCTAAGTTGTTTCCCAAATTCAAAAGGCATGTCTTAACTAATCTGGGCTAGCAAAGACCCTTAGCATATACCTTTATCTGGAAGAAGCAGATTTTTGAGGACTGGAGATTACCGAACAGATAATTTTTAAAAATTTTTTATTTTGTAATTTTAAAAAAAGCCAAGAATGAATAAGTAATATCTATTTTCTGCAAGTATTTTCATATGGGCAAATCTTTGGTTCATCTGTGATTTTTATTATATCTATATTGGAGATGAGCGTTTTGTTTTAAATTTCATAGACTTCCAGGCTGGGGAGATAGCTCGGTAGCATAAGCTCGTGCCTGGCAAGTGCAAGATCCTGAGTTGGATTCCCAGTCCTCCCCTCCAAAAATAAATTGATACACTTCCACTTACAGGTATATGGGATGGTAAGTTGTAGATGAATTTTAGGGGCCAGAATTGTCTTGTATAAGCCAGTAATGGTGGTGGATTGCTGTCTGTGGGATTAATTTGTCACTGAGCAGTTCTGATGAAAGTAGCTCATGGTGAGTGTACACCGCGTCAGACCGTTAGGCTGTTTTTGTGGGTCCAACAACTTTACGGAGAAACGCTGTTACTGCCCCAGTGTGGAGATCAAGGACGCAAAGAACTGGGATCTAGTGGCTTGCCGGGCTTGCATTGTTATTGGTGGCAGAGCTGGGCCCTGAGCTGCAGCAGTCCTGACTCTGACACCTGCTGTCTTAGCTTATTCTGTGACGCTTCTTTCTTTTCATAAGACCAAAAATAATTTTTTCAGGATTTTATTTGAATTGGATCGTTGTCTTAGATGTGTACCCATTACAAAGGCACACATTTGGGAGCTGCTTTTGGAGATAACTGATAGCCCGTGTCAGTGGCGCCTTCGGCACTCCAGACAGCATGGTGGCTGCCCATTTATTCTTTGTTTTTGCTTTGGTTTTGTTTTTTGAGACAGGGTCTTGCTTTGTGTTGTGGGCTGGCCTTGAACTCACCGTGCAGCCCAGGCTGGCCTCGAGCTTACGGCAGTCCTCCTGCCTCAGCCTCATGAGTACTGAGATTATGGGCATGCACCACTGTGCCTAGGTATTTATTCTGACACAACAGATACTTTAAAAATATTTTTGTAGTACAATGTAGGTTTACCCCGATCTTAGAAGTACCTCGCTTTAGAATTAAAGTCTTCTTTTAGGAAGACTTGATTTTTATAAATGTGTTTGCTTTTATATAAATCTCCATTTACATGAAGGTTTTTCACAGCTGATTTTGATTTTTTAGTTCTGCACAATGCCTGTTCCTTTCTACCACGATTAGGAGGATGTGCAACCTATCTTCCAAGTCCCTCGCAGTCCGACAGACGCCCTGCTCGTCACACACTCTTCCCCATCCTCTTATGGGAGGAATACTGGATTCTGGGGTATCTTGCATGTTGGAACTTACATTGCCGTGACCCTCGAGGTTGCCCACAGCTAAGTGCCGTGCCGTGGCGTGCCGTGCCGTGGCGTGCCGTGCCGTGGCGTGCCGTGCCGTGCCGTGCCGTGGCGTGCCCCCTTGCTTAGACAAACGTTTATTGTCCTACAGTTACTACTGCTCTTCTTTCCGCTTGTTTCCTGTGTTTCTCATCAGGTTGTTATCAAGCTGGGCAGTAAATCTGTAAGCTCCTGGTTGATCCTGAACCCCTGCAGCCCACACGCGGCTTAGACTGCAGTTCAGACTGCACTTCCCTTTTATTTTATTTTTATTTTTTTATTTTTTGGCAGAACCAGGGATTGAACTCCGGTCCTTGCGCTTGCCAGGGAAACACTTATTCTACTGAGCCATCTCCCCGGCCCCCTGGGTTTTTTTTTTTTTTTTTAATGCTTTTCATGTGTTTATTTATTTCAAACCAAATTGGTAGGACAGTTTCAATAATTAACACATTGCATACATTCTTCCTAGTGGTTATTTGCTGTACAAGATGCGGACATGATATCCTATGTACAAACACTATTAGAACAAATACTTCTATTCATTAAGAGAATGTAACTGTATATCTATCCTAATCATTTTGAATACACAGATACAAAATGGACATTCATCTGTATCCCCTTTCTTGTTTAGTTCCGTTATTTGAATATTATAGGTGTGTTAACTCAGCAAAATATTCTAAAAGAGTCCAGTAATCCATAATAGTATTGGGTCTTCCGCTTCACTGACAGTGTCAGAAATTGTTGACCTGAGTCCCCTACAGCTCAACATAACAGCATGGCTTTAATTCTTATACTTTGTTTTTATACTTTTCTGCTGGATGGTTAAGACCAAGGTAAAGCAGGACCTATGCAACAAGAGTTGTAGCTTTTGGGTCTGATAAGGTCAGTGAAATCCCCCCAGGATTTATCCTGAGACCCTGTACCTCAGATTGTAGATCCTTTGTCAGTGTCAGCCATGTGGATGAGTCACGGCCACTGCTTGGCCAATGTGCTCTCTGTGTAAGCCTGAGAGAGTGTCTTCTCCCCATGTGACTCTCCTTAGGCACACTCTACATCATTGATCACTTTCCTCTTTGGCCCCATAATCTCCTTGATCAGAAAATTTGGGACACTACCGAGTTACATGACGTTACAGTACAAGTTCTCCTATGTCCTGAGTCTTAATTGACCTTGGAAGGCGGAGTGCCCTCACTCCTTCCCCCGCTCCTTCCTTGCGGGCCTGGCCAGGCTGCTGTCTGCTCGCTGGAGGCCTCACATTTTCCTGGGAGGTCTTTCTCTGCCTCTGCTTGCTGCCTTAGGTCTCACAGCCTTGTCTTTAATTGTATGCCTCTGATATTGCTCAAACAGCCTTCTTATAAAAAGCAAGCAAGAAGCAAATGTCTTTATTCTGTTCTTACATTTGATTATTTATGATCATTTATGTAAGATTACTAATTATATTAGTTAAAAATGCTTTTATCTTCTTCCCAGAGGAAGACGTCTTTTGTTTTTAAACTAGATTGTTTTTCGGCCTGTCGGTTTTGGTTGGCTCTTTCTCATGTGAGAGCTGTTAGCAAGTCCTGTGAACATGATTAGCCACTTTGTATAGTGGCCTCAATTATTTATTTATTGTTTGTGTGTCTCGAGACAGACTCTTCAGGCTGGCCTTGAGCTCACTTTATAATCCAGGCTGGTCTCGCACTTGTATGTATCTTCCTGCCTCAGCCTCCCAAGTGCTGGGATTGCAGGTGTGTGCCACCACTCTCACCAGTGGCCTGAATTATAGCATGGTGGCCGGTTGGCTTTTATGTTGGGGACTGCCTCTCCAAATGTCACTAACTGTAGGTCTTTTTTGGGGGACTTCCCCCAAAATTTTTGCAGAGTTGTCCTTTAATCTGTGAAAATCATCAGCCTGGCCGCATGCTCTGGCACTTTAGGTGGGGCAGCTGTGGTGACTCCCATGGTTCTGTTTGTTTGCTCTGCATTGCCGCCTCTGGGTGTGGACCTTTCTGGCTTGGTCTCCATGGTAACCCTGCTTCCTATGCTGTCTTGCAGAGTCCCCTGGCTGCTCCTGGGAGAAAGGGCGCTGAGAATACCCCTGTCTGCACGTAGACACCAGCAGCCCTCTTGCAGGCCGCCCCACTGTTACTGGGCCTTCCCATGGTCTTTAGCTCTTGAGCCTTCTCCCCTGTTTTGCTCCCTCTCGACAGCTCCTTGGGGTTTAGCTTTCTCTGTTCTGGGCAGGCAGTTAGTCCCTGTCTCCTGTCATCTCTCTGTACCTGGGGGATGTCTCTGCTCGTGTCTGTTGTGGTGACCTCTCCCATTCTTCTTTATACTTCTTTCTGTCCCCATCCCTTTCCCCTCTCTTCAACCCCTCTTCCTCTCTTTATTTACAAAGCTTTGTTTCTATTATCACTTTTTCTCATTTTTTTCTTTTTCCTTCTACCCCCATTTCCCTTCCCTAATTTTTTCCTATTTTACAGTATCTGTTGCACGTTTTGGTTCTTACTGACAGTGTCAGAAAGACAATGTGATATGTATGTGTCTGATTTATTTCACTTACGTGTATGATGCTCTCAAGGTGCATCCTTTTAGGTAGAAATGTCTCAAGTTTATCCTTCATTATGGCTGAATAGTATGCCACTGATTAGAAAAACTCACAACTGTTGGTGGGGCTGTGGGGAAAAGAAGCCTTCTCCACTGTTGGTGAGAATGGGAGCCGGTCCAACCACTGTGGAAATCAATGTAGAGACTCCTCAAAAAATCAGGCGCAGAGGTCTCTCTGACCCAGCTCTTCGCCTTCGTGGTGTCGTCCTGGAAGTGTGGAAGGCATCGTCCTGCAGCGATGTGTGTGCAGCCGTGTTTACATCGCCACCGTTCATACTGGAAGAGCTAAGGCTTGGGAACAGCCAAAATGCCCATTGGCCAAGGAGTGAAGAAAAAAGTTAGAATCCGGTTTTTGCCATTTTGTTGTACATTAGATTTTGGGCAGGAGCCAATATAAATGTATACATTCAATGCGATGTAATTTCTTATAATTTGAGAAGGATTCCTGTTTGGGAAAATGATTGAAAGTGTAGAAAGAAACGCATTTGTTTTGGAAGCATCAAAGGAACATACTTGGGCTGGGGAGATGGCTCAGTAGAATAAGCGCTTCCCTGGCAAGTGAAAGGGCCTAAGTTCAATCCCTGGTTCTGCAAAAAAACCCCTGAAGGAACAGACTTCTTCAACTAAGAAGCCACTCATTCCGAGTATCTTGCCTGGTATAATGAGACAGGAATTACGTACGTCATCTTCTGGGCAGACCCTGAGACGTGGGTATTAGATGGCTGGTGTCTTTGATGGGCATCTCTATAGTTGATGTGGATGATCCTAATTTTCTTGCTTGTGGTTTGGATTTTTTACTGTAGATAAGTATTAATGTTATTCATTAATTTTTTTTTTTTTTTGAGACAGGGTCTTACTATGTAGTTCACACTGGCCTTGAATTTGCTTTGTAGCTCAGGCTGCCCTGGAACTCACAGTGATCCTCCTGCTTCAGCCTCTCAAATGCTGGGATTACAGGTGTGCAACACCACACAAGACAAAAAAGCAAAGTGGTTCCACATTGAAACATAGCTGCTGCAGCAAGGACTGACAAGGTGGTGTGTGGCGGGAGAGACACAGAGCGTCAGAGCATGCTTCTGGAAGCCTGGGGTACGGGCTTCGGGCTTGCTCACTGGCATGGGCGTCTTCGTGGAGTTTACTTTTGAAGGCTACACTTGAACAGCCAGCCAAGCTTGGAATTTTCAGACAAGCCCATATTAAGTGGCTCAGTTGCCTGGGCTGGGCTCGAAGCTATGATCCGTCTACTCCATGTATTTTTTTTTTTTTTTTTTAATGGGACCAGTGATGAGCTACTCCTGTTTGTTTTCAGGTTCCCAGTGAATGGAATTTTTTTTTTTTTTTTTTTTTTTTTTTTTTTGTGGAACCGGGGATTGAACTCAGGCCTTTGCACTTGCCAGGGAAGCGCTTATCCTCTGAGCCATCTCTCCGCCCCTCAGGCTTGGGAGGGGTGTATAGCCTCCTCAGCCAGTGCCCCGTCATTAGTCATTCTAATAACTGCAACCACTATGTCTACATGGAATTTAGCTGCAGTTTATTAAGATTATAAGTTTAAAAAAAGTTTATTTTCCCTCCATTTCCTTCTTTTATAGTTTAAATTGTTGTTTTGGTTTGTTTATTTTTGTTTTCTGTTGTTGAGGAGGGCCTCACTGTGCAGTGCAGGCAGGCTGGCCTTGAGCTCGCTGCACAGTCCAGGCTGGCCTCAAACTCACCTCCATGCTCCTGCCTCAGCCTCCTGTGTGTGGAGATCACGGCTTAGGCCACCATGCTCAGCTGCTGTTCAATTCCTGAAGAATACAACGCTAGTTTTTCCCACTTTCCTAGTTGTTTAGTGTGTTCTTGTCTGGGCAGAAGGCCGCAAGGGCGTGTCGGTTTTCCCAACCGTGGTCCCTGGCCCAGCTGTGTCCGACGCAGCCGTGTCCGATGCAGAGTGGACGCGCAGTGTATATGCACCCGAGTGTGCTCGGCTCGTGCGCACCTTGGCGTCTCAGCTGACAGCCACATCGGCCCTTGCTCACCACGCTGCATTTCCCTGTAACTTGTGGGTAGGTGGGGGAGATGGCTCGGTAGAATAAGCGCTTCCCTGGCAAGAGCAAGGGCCTGAGTTCAATCCCTGGTTCGCCTGGACCACCGCAGCTGTCTCCGAAGTTCTGCCCAGAACTGGGACGATTCGAGTGCCCAGGCGAACCTTCTTCCCTCCGGAGCTGCCTCCTACAGCAAGGGCCTCTTCCTTCCGCTGGCAGAAACCTGGAGCGAACCCCAGCGTCCCGCTCGCCCCTTCTGCGTGCCCTGGCTTCCCTGAGCACTGGATGTTCTTTCTCTTCATCTCGGTCCCTGCAGCTGCTGTCTTATTTCCAGCCTTCACACTGCCTGGTGACCCTGTGTAGGTGCAGACTGCATCCTCGGGAGGCTCAGTGCAGTATAACGGTATAACGAGGGATCCAGCGTAACTCCTGCCCCCTCTCTCTGGCCTTTTCCTGCATTGTGTCTCCAGACCTTTGAGGGTAGAGTGTTTGGAGTCCAGGGAAGTCAGAGGAGGCAGGTAGGGATGGAAGGGAAAGGAACTGCCTCTAACTCCCCAACAGCTTTTCCTGAGGCTGGCAGCCTGGCCGGCTGCAGTGCTACGCTCTGCCAGTAGGTGCCGCCAGAAGGCACACACTCTGCTCTCATCTGAAACCTGCCTAAGACCCTTTCGGATGTGTAGGTTAGTTGGTCACAAGTTCCAAATGCTGTACTTTCAGTTTCTGATACAGCACTATATTGGTGGGTTAAGTATACATGTACAGAACTTAAAACTCAGTTGAAATTTTCCAGTGTAATCTCATGTGAACTGTCTTTTTGAGAGGGGTCTCTCTATATAGCCCAGGCTGGCCTCAAACTTGCAGCCATCCTCCTGCCTCAGCCTCCTGAGAACTGAAATTCAGGCATGTGCCACCATGCCTGGCCTGATATTAACATATTTTTGCATTTAAAACACTTCAGAATCATTTCTGAAATGCTCTATGGTGTATCTTTAATCACATTCAGTTTTTAAAGACTGAATGTGATTAAAGCTGTCAGGTTGTCAAGCTGTTAAATGTGGTGCAGAAAGCCCAACGCTTGAAGTCACAAAGAATGAACAAGAGGCAGCGGAAGACGTTTCTGGTCAGCTGTTTGCACCAGTGCGCTGTATTCTCGCTCGGGGTCTCTCTGTGCGCTCTTTGGGCACACCCAGGGCTTCAGTTTCCTTTCCCTGCTCCTACACGTGCAGTGAGGAGGCGGGCTGCCAGTGTTCTGCTCATCTGCAGCCTCCTCTTTCTGTCTAGAATTGAGTCAAGTGTGGGAGTGCACACCTGCAACCCCAACACTTGGGAGGCTGAGGCAGGAGGGTTGCTGTGAGTTTGAGGCCAGCCTGGGCTGCGTAGTGAGACTCCAGCTCCCTGAAAATCCCCAGATGCTGGTAATACTGGGTAACTTTATGTGTACCACTAAAGTCTGAGGGGACAAAACACAAGGAAGGCCTGAGATGGGGTCTGATAGGAGCACATAACCACGCTGCAGGGCTGCGCCCAAGTGTAAAGATGAACTGAGAGTGAGGGCTTTGTCTTGGGGGAAAGGGTCTCCAGAAAAGCCTAGCTTATAAAGTAAAGTGTTTTAGCATTCAGTGTAAAATTAAGTTTCTGCTGTCATTCTTTTTTCTGCACAGTATTTGATGACTAATTCAGATCATTGAGGCAAGAAAGAGAAATGAGGTATAAGAATTTAAAGGGAAGAAATAACTTATTTGATCATAGAGCTTATATATGTAGAAAACTACAAAAATTTAAAAACAAATTATTAAAATTAGCCTTGCAGCACCGTACTGTTTCAGAGTACATGGTCAGCAAACAAAAAGCAGTTGTGTTTGTGTTACCGCTAACCAGGACGAGGTGCAGGAAAGCAGCTTCACACACGTGCAGTGTGCAGCCCCGTCTAGTGAAAGCTGATGCAGCCCTCCCGACTCCTGGAGGTCCTGCCCGGACTGCGAGGTCCAGTTGTGCTCTGCGACCTCTGCCTCTGGGGATTTGTCTCCCAATGCAGGCGCCAGGTGCCAGCGCTCAGAAAACCCTGCTCAAACTGCTCACTGGCCTCCCAGCTTCCTGCCCATCACCCTGCCTGTGTCTGTGCCTCTGAGGAAGGGAGACCCCAGGGATATGAGAGACTTCTGTTCTTCCATGCCTGTTCCCCAAGTGATCCCCTAACTACTATGGGACGGCAAGCCATAACTGCATTAGTAAACCATGTATCTTTTTGTTTTACTGTGAAATGCTTCCCACTGAATAGTGTTCATTTATGCAGCAAATACATATGGCATCTATCACCTTTTGTGTGTATCAAGCGTAAGGTGCATAGGAAGATTGTTAAGCGTGGCTCCTCTACCACAGTGCTCATTTTTGCATGGAATTTTTCCCACCTTGCCCTCCGAGCTCACCGGTGATACTTTGGAAGTGAAACAAGTCCTTGGTGCCCTGGTTAGAGATACTGAGTCAGTAGGAGAAGAGTTGGTGTTTGAACAAAGCTGTGCATGACTGATGGTTAGGGAGCCTGGGACCAGCCCACTGAGCGTGTGACTGTCACACATGGCCTTTCTTGGGTGCGTCTTAGGACTCCCCTCGCTGTTCAGATGTAAAGAGCTGGATTCCCCATTTCTCTTGGGCAACCCGACTGTTCTCTTACTCAGTAAGGCAGCAAAGTGCTTGTGTCAGTTGATTGAGTTCCTGATGCCACTGTGGAAGAGCCATTTAGTAGAAGTGTAGCAGCGTGCCCAGGCAGCGAGACCCCCCTCGGACCAGGCCCCTTCTCCCGGGGTGCCGTGACTTCAAAGAGAGCTGTCTCCTCTTGGTGGACACCTCCAGCTGGGCCACTGCTAACTCACATAACTCCCTCTCCTGTGTACAACTGCCCTGCACAGGGAGGGTCTGACAGCACGTGTTCTGGGTGAGTTTCCCCACCTCCCTGCAGCCCGTAGCATCCTGTGGTCTTGGTCACGCCCTGCAACTTATGGGACACTCAAGTCCTCTCTCTGTGACTTAGGGTTCCTAACTTGGGGTTATAACTTGTTGAATTGGCTTTAAGATTCAATGAGAGGTCGATGTTTTTATTGTCTTTGTAGTATCCAAAGGTACAAATTTTATGTGTGTAAATGACTGGGGCTGACCTGTTATAGTTCATACATAATTAAATCATCTCCCTTCAGCTTGAAATAAAGTGTAACTAACTTTGAAATTACTTGCTTTTAGGAAAACGTTAAACATTTTGTTTCTGGTGGTCCTCATCTTTTTCTTAAACGCTTCACTGTTTGCTTTATAAGATCAAAGCTATGTGGTTTGAAAGGTGTTGATTAGTGCCGAAAGTTTTTTCTTCAGGCTCTAAACCGATTGTCATTTGCACGGGTATTATAAAAGCATCTTCTTTCCCTTCATAGCATCGCAGGGGGGCGGTTACTGTCGGTAATAAAGACGCAGCTGATTAAAGGCCGAAGCAGCGAGGCTTCATTCTGCAAAGCGGTAGAAGAAGTTGCTCAGGATTTGGATTTGAAGATTAAAAATATTGTCAGTTCTCAACAAGAGGGCGGCGCTCTGGGCCCCACTGACATAAGCCCTGCACGGGTAATGAGCTTTTTACTTCTGTTGTCATCTGTACAAAACATTATTGCTCTGATGTTCCTCGTGTCTGTGGCTTGTTGATGCCACTTAAGTCAGATTATCTCTTTCCTGTGTTTGAAGATGATGTTGAAATTTAATTTTCTCAATAGGATTATGTTGTGCTTGGGTAAATCATAACATCTTTGGTCCAAACTGTATTCATTAAAGTAAGGCATTGGATAATCTCCTTATCCCTTTTAGCACTAAAAACTTAATTCTTGATGGGCATTAAGATATTTGTGGTATTTTTCAGCAAATATTCTTGTAGAGCAATTATTTCCTCTTTATTCAGCTGTAGGAGCCTAGTTTCTTTTTCTTTTTTCTCTTTTTCTTTCTTTTTTTTGGCAGAACCGGGGATTGAACTCAGGCCCTGGCGCTTGCCAGGCAAGCACTTAATCTACTGAGCCATCTCCCCAGCCTCAGGAGCCTAGTTTCTGAGACCAGTGCTGAGCTGTCTGCGGTGGCGACGGGCCTGCTAGCGGTGCTTTCTGTTCAGCAGTTGCGTGTCTCTTCTCGGTCCCCGCAGACTCTCCTTTTGCACACCTGCGCCTGCCCTGGCCTCGGTTTCCACACACCTGGCAGTCTTTTCATTGTCTGTCCCGGAACATTCACTTTCTTCTTGATTTTCTTACATGGTCAAATATAATCTATGGCAGCCTGCAGTATTGTAGGAGAAGCTGAGCACTGTGCTTCGGCTTCAGAGCAGGGTTTGGGAGCATGTGCTATGGTCTGCTCATGGCCACGTGGTCAGCTAACAGGACCCCCTCCAGTGGGGCGGCTTATGGCACCCAGGGAAGGCTGGGACGTTTGCTTACTGATTGCAAATAATGGTCTGTTATAACTCATTCATTCATGCCTCTCAGTGACCAGTATTAGCCATTCTTCTGTAGCGATACATATGTTCAGCTTTACTTTGAAACCCCATCCAGGGGGCTATCCTGGGTGGTACCCCACTATTTTATGTGTGGTAACATTTCCACTGACTAGCTGGGCTCAAACAACAACCAGATTATTATTATAAATAAAAATCAGAAACTGCTGCAATCTCAGGTAATTAAGAGCACCACTCTGTCTCATTTTCTGACAAAAGAAAAGTGCAAACAACCTGGTTCTTAATTTTGTTTCCCATCAAATCACTGGTTTTTGAAAAATGTATTCAAATAATGTTCAGTGGAGTTAGGAGTGAAGGGTGTGGAGATCTCTGGGTCTGACTGCAGCAGGCAGGTTGATCCTGGCACAGGGGTGCATTCGAGTTTATGTGGTGGCCCAAGTCTGTCGGGTAGAGGAAGGAGACCAAGCTCAGCTTGACAGGAGCTGAGGACAGTGGCTCAGCCACTGTAGCTGGCCCAGCAGACGGCCACTTTGTCCCTTAGGCACAAGGAGGACCAGCCCGACAGGGAGGGAGCGGCCGTGCCCTGGTTGCCAGTGAGTTCAACTTCAGCAGCTTCCTCGGTTCTGGAGAGCGAGGCCCGTCTTGCGCGCAGCTGTGAGCAATAGCGTGGTGTCATGTTTTCCCCCTTTTCCCTGTCTAGTTGCTAATGTTTTGTGCTCTCGCTGCTTTCTCTATCTCTAGTGCTGCTGTCTTAGTTCAGACCTGGACTTTTATGTCCTTTTAATTTGTAGCCTTGTCTCCAGGATTTGATAACATTCTTACACTGAAATACACTTCATTTTACACTTGCTATTGGTGACTTCTCTAAAGGGTAAATAGGGTCTCTGTCCCTGCTTGCCAGGCAGGACTTGGCCTTTGTTGTCGATTGTCCTAACCTCTTGGTGTGTACACAGCTTTTCCAGCACATTTCACTGCCCTCCTCCTTTTACTGTGCTCCCCACCTTGCTGTCCCCCCCGGCTCCTGAAGGTGCTGTGTCCTGCCTCCATGCCCCCTCTGTGACATCATCCTGGACGCCACAGTGCCTTGCTCTGTCCGTTGTGTGTGCTGGGCCTAAGGTGATCAGAAACCAACGCACGCTGCATAGATTCTGTGCTAGCATCCTAGGCAGTGTCAGCGCTCCTCAGTTATCAGGAGATCTGGGTTCCTACAGGGCGGGGGTGTTTGCCTTCAGATCTGATGCTCAGACATAAGGCTCGGGACACACGCACTGACCAGTGACCACGGAATAAACGAATGTCAGCTGGCTTTCCTTTGCACATTTGTTGAGGCCTTAACAACAGTCTGTGCAGTAAGTATTCAGGTAGCCAGAAGTTCAGCTTCCTTTAGAATAACAGACAACACCAAGATTTTCATGACTGAAAGCCTAACGTTATTTTGACCAGAAAATAATGTCTTCCTTTGATGTTGCCATTCTTGTGCATCTGAAAATTGATAAGATTGCTCATCTGTACCTTACAGGAGAAGTGTCCTGTGCCTCACAGCTGCTTTCCTCAGGTTATTTGGTGTAACTTCAAAATGCAGTGGGGAGAAGAGTGGCACGGGCAGTGGACCAGTGTGGCAGACTCCCACAGCCAGGGTGGTTGTTACATAGACTTAATTTTTTTTCCTTCAGTGTATGTTTTCTTTTTCTTTTTTTTTTTTAAATATATTTTTTAAAAAATTTTTTTTATTTGTGTGTGTGTGTGTGTGTGTGTGTGGCCAGCTCAGCCCACCAGGGGGCAGGGCTGCCCGGCATGTGGTGCTGGGGACTGAACCGCCGTCCCTGCGCTTCGCCAAGCTTGTTCTAAGTAGGTGCTTTAGACCACTGAGCCATCTCACCAGCCCCTCAGTGTATGTTTTCAATACACAGTATTTACATTTGTTTGGGGATTGATGCTTTTTGTTCTAGCCGAAAGCTCATGCCATCAACCACGGCACTGCCTACTGCGGCAGGGACACTGTGAAAGCCTTACTGGTTCTTCTGGATGAAGCAGCAGCCAGCGTGCCTGCCGGAAACAAAGCGGAGCTTTTGTACGGCGACGGGAGCACAGCCCGCTGCGACGGGATGTCTGTCCTCACACTCTTCAGGTAAGTGACGTGGACGCCATGTGTACATGGATGTGAACACCAGAGAAGGTCTGGGAAAATATTTACTGACTGCAAAAGAAACACTTGCTTATGGTGGGAAATTTGGAAACTAGCAGAGTGTAAAGGAAGCAAAAGTTAGTTAGAGATTACCCACTGAGGTGCAAAGGCGTTCTAGGTGGAACAAGTAACATTTAGGTGTTTCTGGTTTTATTTTTTAAAATTCTTTTTGTTTGTTTCTAGTTTTAGTGGCTTTTCTTTTATTCTTTGCTTTTGGCTTTGAGAAAATATTTATTTACAGTACATGAAGAACTTTGCTAAGTGCTTTCACTTAAATTATACACACCAGACTTACCTTGGGATTGACATTTACTGGTTTTCATCTTCCCATCATGAGAAAAAATATTTGCTCAATTATGCTGGTGTGGTGTGTACGATCTTGACACCATCCTGGCTGCTGCAGTAGGAAGAGCCCCAGTGGGGACTCAGCTTCCTGTAGGACAGGAAGCGTGAGGTGAGGTGAGGGGCCAGGAGAGACGGCTGCTGGTGAGGGTCTCACTGCGGGTGTGGTGACGTCTTTGTGCCCAGGTGGCCTTTCCTTGATGCCGGTGTCCCCTGATAAGGTCACCTCTCATCAGAGTGGGTGGGGTCCTGCTGTGATAACCTCTATTTTTTTTTTTTTTTTTTTTTGGTGGAACCGGGGATTGAACTCAGACCCTTGCGCTTGCCATGGAAGCGCTTATTCCACTGAGCCATCTCCCCGGCACCTACTGTGATAACCTCTTTTTTTTGGTTCCTCGAATGCCTTCAGGGTACTTTTGGCCAGTGGGAGAGTTGTGAGGTTCGAACTCCAGCAACCTGAGGCTGACAGCTTTGTGGAAGCAGCCACTTAAAGGACTGAGCTAGGGCCAGGCCCTTGTGATAACCTCTTTAAGGGCAAGTGATAACCCAAAAAGCCCTGTCTCCAAAAGAAGTTACATTTAAGGGTTGAGGCTTGAACACTGTGTTTGCGGGGGTGTGCACAGCTCAGCCTGCAGCAGGGACTCCCTAGTTTTAACTCAGATAAGCCAGTCACCTAACAGGGGGGGTGCTACTTTTCAGTGGATGTTTGCTTCTGGGAAGATGGGCAGTTTTACACTTGGTCTTAGCCAGAAGGCTGAGAAGCGACAGGAACACTGAACAGTTTCAGAAGAATTATTTTACATGGTATGCAGTACATCTTGGAGAATTTTCATAAAACTCTCCCACTATTTGTTGTTTTCTGCATCCTTCTGGAGCTGCTGCTCAGAAAACTGGTCTGAAGCCTAAAACAATAAAGAGATTAATTTAATTGGCAATATAGGCTGATGTGATCAACTCCAGGAATCTTTTGCATTGTGCCTTTTCGGACTTGCAGCTTTTCTTGTTCTCTTTGGAGGGCCCCTGTTTTGAGTTCTAGCTGCGCAGATGTCTATCCCTTTTCTGAGGCCTCGCGCTGCGTGACCACGGGCCAAGGAGCAGATCAGCTCTGTCCATCCCAGCACCTCGTGCAGCCCCTTACAAATAAAGTACAGGACATGGTTACTGTATTGACTGAGCAAATTGTTGGTATTTAGGGGAACTGGTCTAAAAGCCCCTTAAATTTCTGGGCGTCTTGGTGCACTGTAGCTGCTGGGGTGCACTCACTTGGCTGTGCAATCTGAAAGTGACAGAGGTTTGTGTCTCACGCTTGGGGAGGTGCAGGACCCGGTGCCAGCGGACCCACTGCTACTGCTCCATGCTGCCTTCCTCGTGGGCAGCACGCTCCCTTGAGCTCGTTTTTTGGGCGCTGATCCCATCCGTGAGGGCCAAGCGCCCACCCGCTGATCGCCTGCCAGGGGTCCCACCTCGTCGTAGCATTTGGGCTACAGCAGTACATTTTTACCTTTATTTATTTATTTTTTTAACATAGCTCTCCTACACGAGTGGATAATTCATTGATGAAACCCCTAAGAGAACGCATCAGTAAGTCTGTGCAAGAGAAGAAAATCAAGGTACGATTTAATGTAAAGTGAATGATGACAAACATTACTAATGTCATGAATATGATAAACATGTATATTTAGAAGAAATAAATATGGCAATCTGAGCTGCAGAATGCAAATATACATCACATATCACATGATGAGAATGAAATGGAAAGCAAATAATGACTGTTGATGCATAGAAACTTTCCTTAGTGCAGTCTTGACTGATCTGCTTTTGGCTACTTAATCTACTAGACTGAAAAGAAGAAAAGAAAAAGCAGTTGCTATTGTAAATATTGAATAAGTACTTGTTGAATGAATGAAGGGGAACATCATGGCCCTCTTGATTACATTTCTAATGTATATCTTTTTCTAATATTTTAAATGGAGCTGTGAGTGGCTGTATGTGGCAGCTTCCCAGTGCTATAGCAGATCCCCGAGTAGATCCTACCGAACTGTAGGTTACACAAGGGAAGGTCTGTCTTGGGGCCAGATTGCCATGGCTCTGTGTGCAGGACAGAGCAGAGCCACTCACTGCCTGGCTGTGCAGCAACGCGGTTTCCACGCCTGCCAATAATGCCAAGCTGCAACCATGGCCTTTTGGAGCACGCCGTGCCCAGGCTGTGGTACAGCATCATGTAAAACCTGCTCCTGTTGGAAGACATGGCGGTGGAATATAATCAATTGTACAGTGAGATAGGGTGAACATTTTACATTGTTTTGACTAGAGTGGCACCTTATATTTTCATTTAGTTTGAAGTAAAATTTCTTGTTTTTAATCTATTTATTTGGTACAGGGTCTCACTATGCAGCTTGGACTCATAGTGATCTCCTGTCTCAGTCTCCCTAGTGCTGAGATTACAGGTGTGCACCACCGCGCCTGGTTTTGGTGGCCAGCATGGTGCACCCAGAGTTCCAGGGCTACCACAGCATGCGGTACTGGGGATGGAACCCGGGTCCTTGCACTTGCCAGGGAGGTGCCTTGACCACTGAGCTATCTCCCCCCAGCCCTAGTCTCTTGTTTTTAATCCTAATTGTCAATTTGATGAGATTGAGAGAAGCCTTGGGAATTAGAGAAACACACTGTATCTGTGAGGGTGTTTCCAGTGCTGGTTGGCCTGTGAGATGGCGAATGGAGGTGGGACCCGCCCTGAATGTGGGCGGCACAAAGCAGCAGGCTGCTCCGCAGGAGCAGGAGCAGCAGGGTGAGGGCAGCTGTCACCTGCCGTGCCTTCCTCTGTGATATTTCTGCCTCACCGTAGGCCTGAAGGCAATGGAGCCAGCACATGGTGGGCTGGATCCTCCGTCACCGTGAGCCCAAGTCAGTCTGTCCTCCGAGTTGGTTTTCTCAGGTGTCACCGAGTCTGGCAGCTCACAAGCTGTCTCAGGAAATGTTAGTGCTAGGGTAAGTCCTAGTGTCTTTCTTCAGGCACGTGAAACCTTCATGACTTTAGTGTTCAGAAAGAACCTACATCTAATTCGTTCAGTTATTCAACATTTAAACATACTTAGGTGTTGTTATATATATTGTTATATATAGATAAGGAAAATCATGGAGAGAATGTATATTATGTATTTAAAAGTGTCATCTTGGAGAGAGCATTTCAGAAACAAGAGTGTACTAGAGTTTTACTAGAGGAACAGATATAATGCAAGAAACAGATATAACCCAAGATGTATAAAGGTATGAGAAAGTACAAGAATGGCTTACAACGGCCAGCCTCAGAGTCCGATGCAGAAGCGTGCAGAGGGTGTCTGCACACCCGAGACTGAAGGAATCAGTCCCAAGGTCTGAAGCTCACTGCAGTGTTCCGTGCAAGTCTCTTATCAGTTGGCCGGACGGCCTCCGTGGAAGGCTGAAGAGGGACAGAAGCTGAAGGATCCAAGCGGAGGTGGAAGAGGCTGTGCTGCAAGCCGGGAGATGAAGCGCAAGCCGACCGAGAAGACTGAAGTTCCTCTGAGCAAGTGGAATGCCAACTCCTTCCTCAACCCCTTTTTTGATCCCCTTTTTGTGCTGAGTCACTCTGAGGCAGGCCCAGTGTCTCGTCTTAGGGTGGGCCTTCCTCCCGCCCATGAGGCCCCCAGGGTGTGGAATTGCCCAGGATCCAGCCAAGTTGACACAATGTATCAGCCACTACAAGCAGGCACTAGTGAATTGAGGATTTTGATGTGCTTGATTGTGAAATCTCCATGTCCCTATTAGGCAGAGCTTTCCTGTCCATAAGTAGCCATAGATGCTCCTCTGCTCACAGAATCCTGTGAGACTACCTTGGTAACCATTCTTTGAACACTCACTTTAGCTCCTCAGCTTTTGTTACTTATTGCAGTTTGTTAGGAAACGTGTTTATGGCAATCAAATAAGATTCCTTGTGAAGAAAATCAGGTTCTTACTAACTCTTCCTGCATTTGCTGGGAGCCTTTAGAGATTGTAAGGACTTCACCGAGCCTATGAGGAAGGCCCTAGGTCTTCAGCAGACAGCACCTGGGACTGTGAGGGTGAGCATGTGGCAGCCAGCGGGGCACGGCTGGCTGTGTTCTGCCGCCCCCTACCCCCGGCATCCAGGCAGTCCTGTGCTTAGGGTCTGCGGGTTTTGGTTCAGTGTCCAGATCTAGCCCCATGGTTAGGAACCCCAGTACAGCTCTATTTGAAATGGTAGTTTGAATTACACAGTATTTCCCTTCCCTCTACTCAAAATGAATACAAAATAATGAAGACTAACAAAACAATTGCCAAGCGCAAATGACAACTAATGATGTCATCAGGTGGCAGCAAACTCTCCAAAGTGCTGGCCATGGAGAGAAAATGTTCAGAGATAAGAGGCCAAGCAGCTTCCTCTTGTCCTTGCGCCCTGCAAAAGCCTCCCTGGTCTTTCCGAAGCTGAAGCTGACAGCTCATTGTGCCCCCACCCCTTCCTCAGCAAAGAGCCAGAAGTGGCCACTGGATGGCACCATGGCCGAAGTGTGGGAAGTGAGCTCAGGTCTACACCGACCCCCCCCCCCCCATGATCTAGTGCGAGTGGAGTTCGAGTCCTGGCACTGACTAGAGGGAGAAGCCCTCAGAGAGTGCTTGCCAGGTATCATAGAGGGGTGTGGGGACACGGGGAATTCTTTATGCTGCTGCCTGGTGCTACTGTCCCTCAGGCTGCAGAAAAACGAGGGACAGAAAATATGCAGTCTCCAAAACATAGTTCTCAAGAGAAAGTGAAGTACTCTCAAACAAGGAGGGAATTGTAGGAAGTGGGCACTTGGGGGCTTGGGACCTCTCACACATTGCAGGTCATGCGGAACACCATTTCTGCTGTAATAGCAAGACAATAAAAAGCAGATGAGGTTAGGGAAGTGGGTTTTAAAGGCATGGAAGAGCTATGTAGGCAAAGTGTAGATGACCCAAGCCTGGCAGAGCAGAGACCCTCTGAGATGAACAGTCCAATTGCCAGCTGTCTACTTCCCTGGATTTTGCCAATCTGGATCCAAGCTGAAAAGTGATGTTGGCCAAGGTAAAGGAACTCACCCGAAGGAAAGAGAAAAAGATTTTGGGTGCCTCGAGAGGCTGGCACACGCAGAGACTTGAGGAGGCCTGCGTGTCGTTATTTCTGGTTGCCGTGTAGGAGGTGGCGGCCTCATCTGGTGGGTGAGGCCGTGTCCTGGCTGCTGGAGCAGTGGGGCTGCACAGGCCTCAGGCACTCGCTGGCCTCCTTCCCTGAGCCACCTTCCTGAGGGGAAGTGGGGCACCATGTGAGCCCAGAGAGGCCGGTGGAGCCGCAGGCCTGGAAGCCAGACAGCAGAGGTCTGAAGGCTCCCAACTGTGAGGCCAGGGACATAGAGCTGAGATTGGTTGAGCAGTAGAGAGGACTGCACCATGGGTGTGCCCCTGGGGTGGCTTCTGCTAGTGTGGTCCCCGCTGCGCATCACTTTCTACCCCCAGGTTTTGCTTCCCTCATGGCTGCTTCTGACACGAATTTGTTAGAACTTCTGTGAATTCATTCACTGCCAGGTGTTGGGGCACCCTGCATGTCAGGCTGTGTGCCAGGCACTGCTGGGAGTGAAGCAGACAGAGGCCCTGCTCCCCACACTCATATGCAGCTGAGCTGCACCAGTAGACCCCGGTGATCGGAAAATACGAGTGTTTAAACTGTACTCAGTGAACACGCGCTGTTGCTGACTGCCTGCATCCTCCTGGCTTCAGACCCACGAATCTTTCGGTCACTTTCTGCTGCGGCTCTAGAGTTCTCCTGTCTTTGGTTGTGTTGCCCTGGGGGGCTCACTGTACCAAATCAATTCAAAACATTGACCTCTCATGGTCATTTTGACTTGGGGAAGAGCCAGAAGTCACACAGTGCTAGACTTGGTGAGTCAGGTAGGCAGCATGCCTTCCCCTGGGGTGGCTCTCGAGCAGCCGGCTGTGTACTTTTTACCACACCTTGTAAAGATCCTCCTGGAGGATTCCCAGCAAGTGGTGAGAATGATAAGTGCTTTCAGAATGAGGTGGGGCATTAGAGGGGGATTGATGACAAGGCATCTTTGGCTATAATCACTTTCTAAATAATTTCAATATTCACCGTACATGGTCATCACTCCACATCACGGATGCCTGGCCTTGGCCTACTCCTGTACCCCTTCTACCCTACTTTCATTTCCTACCTGGAGGGTCACCCCATCTAGAGGTGTGTGTGACCCAGGCCTTCGGAGCCAGAGCCCAAGGGAGCAGCTCCAGGACAGGGTCAGGTTCTCCCAGCAAGCAAGTCTGTGCCCCCTGGACTCCTTGCCCTGTGGGCTGGAGAGGCCAGAGCCGGCCACCAGCTGCCACACGCTCATGGTTTTGCTATTTGTGCAGTTTACATTTCTTCTGAGAGAAGCAGACAGCAGTGAAACAAGTGGATTATATGGTGCATTAGAAGGTTAGCAGTTACGCAAAAGAAAATAAAGCAGGGAGAGAGAAAGGGCATGCTTTCTTTGTGTGTTTTGATTTGAAGTAGGATAAGTAGAGGTCTCCTTGAGGTGACGCGAAGCAAGGACTTTTATTAGAATAACGGACCATATTAGACTGACGTCAGATAGAACCCATAACGGACCATATTAGACTGACGTCAGATAGAACCCACTGTGGCTGAAGCCCTGGGCTTGGGCACGTTCAGTACCTCGAGTGCTGCGTGTGTCCAATGGACGTCTGTACTCCCCATCCCAGCTACCCTGGGCCCGTCTCCAGGCTGCAGGCGTTCGAAAGTCATGGAGCAGGAGCTTGTATTCAGGCAGCAGACTGTGAAGTTTATGTTATCTCCCAAAAGTGAAGGAGGGCCTAGCCCTACATGAGGGGTCGTGAAAAGACACAGGTCAGAAGTAGTATACTTTTCTGTCATTTAGCAAGGTAAATGGCATTTCACTGTTAAAGCAATGGGTCATTTGACATATGTGCAAATTCATATGCCATTAGAGGTACAAGTGCCTATTCTTTTCCAAATGTGATCATGTAAGAATAAAAAGATAAATGTAGAACATTTATTTTTAGTTTGATTTCTTTTTTCAAAATTGTTAATGTACTGATGGGGTGGAGCTTTGGAGTTTTCCTTTTCTGATTAATGCAGCAAGCTCAGAGTATCTGTGACTTTCCAGTGTTTTGACTCATTCATCTTAATTTAGCTGGAGTCAGGCTTTCCTATGTGAAGTACTATTTTCCTCAAACCGGGAACCTACTAATAGTTTCAATTTTAAAAAGAGCTTGTGGCAAAAGGACTTTTCTAATTCTTGGCAAGTTTGAAGTTCATTGCAATTTTACTGTGGATAGAAATCTTTCCAAAGGGGGGAAATCACTCTACAAAGGAAAACTTTCAATCTGTTTTTCTCATGTGATTTGAACATAAAATGATTTTAACAGCCATGTATGAATCTGGACATTATTCTTAGTTGTTTAGTACTTCAAAAGCACTTTCAGGAGGGAATTGTTTTGCTTATTTGTGATTCCAAATCAAATAAATACACAGAGAGATTTGGAAGATTTGCAACAGGAAGTAATCTCAATTCTATGTAGCCACAAATCTTGTGCAGAAAAATTCAACTTTTATGAACAAAGGAAAAGCAAGCCCTTTTATGTTGTAAATACAAGTTAATGTAGCTTGCATTTAAAAAAAGTCAAAATGAAGAATTAAGTTCATTTTTTTTCGAGCTACATTCCTAGAATCCTCTTAGAATTGGCCTGGCCCTGAGGGATCTAATTCAGCAGATCTTATTTTATAGTAATACAGATTTCATATTTGCAGTTACAACTATCCAGTGTCTACTTTAGATCTCTAGAACCTATATAGACTATCCATATTTTTTCATTTCTTACAGTTCTGACAATGTTTGAGGTAGACATTGTTCCTTATGTGTGGATAAGTGCAATATACAGTGGTTTCTCGAAGATTATCTAGACAATAAGTCTTAGGGCCTATATTAGAGGCTGCATCTTTTTATAACACTGACGCTTTCCCCATCATAACCTCTTGTGTTTCTGTGTCACTTATGTCAGCTGGACATCACCCTGGTGGCCTCAGTGAAGCTCATGATCAATCATAATCTCCAGGTCTTTTTTAAGTGAGGTTCTCCTCATCCTGTACATCTGTAATTGATATTTTTGAATGTAAATATAAGTCTTTGTTTATCCCCATTCATTTCCATCTTATTTTCTACTTATGGTTCCAGCCTTCTGAAATCTTTTCAATCTTGATTCTGTTATACAGTTTATTTATTATTCCTTCCAGCTGTGTGTCAACAGCAAAATTTATAAATAGAACAACTTTTAACTGTAAGAGTCATTCTAGTTATCTCTTGTGTACACACAGTTGGAACTCAAAAGTAGTAATTGATGAAAACAAAAAAGAAGTTTCTGTACAGGGAAAAGGAAAGAAAAACCATGTATAATCTTTCATAAATATATTAACTCTCCTCAATTCTTTTGGACATAACTATTGCAAGATCACCATGGATCATGATTATCTTTCTCATTTTGGTATGTTTATGAATAATATTTTTTTCATGGTAGATAAAGAAGTTATTTTTTCTTCCGTGTTTCAACCATTAGGAATCCATTGCTTTGTAACTTTGCTTTTCTGAAATTGTCCTGTGGTCATTCAGGGTGCTGGAATTTCTGTCTAGTAGGCCTGAAGAGAGGAAATCAAGCCATAGGGCGAGCTGGGGTGCACTTTGTGAAGGTATATATGGAAAAGGAAAGTTTTTACTTAGATTACATGAAAACCAATAAAAAGTAACATCTTTCTAAAGAAATACTTTTGCTAGATGCAAGATTGAGAAGACAAGTTTTCTGTACCATGTTGTGTAATTACTGTATTTTTACATAGCGTGCTTCATAGAGTGCCGATGGAGATGGTGGCGTGGGCAGGAGTCACCCACAGGTGCCGTCCCTCCTGGGCACTGTGGGAGTGACCCACGCCAGGCCCCAGCCCCTGGCTGCACTGTCTTAACGCACGCTTTGTCTTTCTTTATAAGCAGTAAGTTTATAATTTTCTGTGAACAGTTACTGCTGAAGTGAAAGAAATATATGAGGGGTAATGTCAGTAATGGAAGTAGGAGATCACGGGCTGCTGCGGCAGTGATAGGCCGTCATAAACTGTAGTTTATCCTCTTAATAAGATTTCTCTTAATAGATTTATAAATTGCTCTAATTCTGTATTTATAGGATAAAGTCCAGGAAGAGCTACCTAGAGCTTTCAGTTCTACCACAGGAAATCTTGTGGTTGAGATTGAGTATGGGAACTGTGCTCTTAGAATTCTTGGAGTTGTTATGAGTTGTAGCCTCATGAACAGCCTACTGTATTCCACTTTTTCCAAAAGCTAGTTTTTTGATGTGCAATAGATAATTTATCTTGCTAATGGAGTTTACTTGGATGCCACAGCTGCCCAACGTGCTGCTCTGCTTCCTTAGGAATCACTGTTGGGGAACTCAAGTCCATGTCCTTTGCAAGCATCTGAGTGGATGTTTAATGCACTGATCTCTGGTTATGTAACCCAGGACAAAATGACTGAATTATTAGTAATATGTAACAAAGTCTTTTGTTCTGTCATCAATTAATACTCCAAGTAATACTCAGCATAATGTAAGTAATTCGAAGTGTGAGAGGATTTGAGGTGACTTCTAATTATTTGGAGAAATCTCCCTACTATACCTGAATGACTAAAGACCTGTATAATTGTTGAAGTTTGCATTCTCATACAATTAATTCCATCTGTAAGGCACTTAGTGGTTATTATGTTTGCCCAAAATATTTCCAAAACTATCCTTTTGCTGTGCTTTTTCTTAAATTTAAAATTTAATTCTTCTGCCTTTTGCCATCATGACTGGCAAATTCCTTGTTCCTAAATTTTTAACTTCATCTCTCTTGTTTTCTTCCTACATTTATGCAAAAAGATAAATACAAGAGTATATTTTTATGTTTTGACTGTTTAAACACTTGGTAGAGGGGTTGGCAAGATAGTCAGTGGACTAAAGTGCCTGCTTAGGCAAGCGCAAGGACTGCGGTTCGATCCCCAGCACCACATCCTGTACCAGGTGCGCTTAGCCGGCCACAGAGTTGGGCATGGTGGCGCACACCTGTGATCCCAGCACTGGGGAGGCTGAAAACAGGAGGATCACTATGAGCCTGAGCTGCGTAGTGAGACCGTGTAACAACCAAATACATTAAAAACAAACAAACAAACACTGGGTAGAATCTTCCTCAAATGATAGATTTGAATGATCTTTCTTTTCTCTTTTTGAATGATCTTTCTTGTTTTCTAAATTTTCAAGTTTTAACCGAGAAATAATAGCTTCTGAATATTGTTGTTTCTCTTCTTATTTCTTTCCTAGTTTTGTTTCTGCTTATTTTGACCTATTTTTAAAAAATTCTTTTTTTCCCCCCAAAGAGTTGTGCTCAGTGTATTTCTTATAATGAAAAACTTGTATTTTCCTATGGTTGGGATATCACACATGTTATGATTTCACTTATAATAAAACTCACTCCCAAAGCACCCAAACACTGAAGTAACCTTTGAAGAGTCTTTGAAGAGTCTAACATTCATGTTTTATAACTGTTACAAAATACATAAAAAATATACAGAAAACTAGTATTGCGGGCAAGAGCAGAAGTGCCACCCACAGCCTGGAGCAAGCTGGTGAGGTGGAAGGCAGGGAAAGAGTTTCCTGTGAAAAGTGGAATTTGTAAGGAGCTTTTTAATGACACTTCGATTACTACTGAGTATATAAGAATGAAAAAACTCAAGTATAAATTGCATATTTTTCTTTCTGTTACCAGATGAAGCAAACCTTAATTAGATCCCAGTTTTCTTGTACTTATAAGGATGATTGCTTGATAAGCAAGGATAAGCAGAATAACATTAAGTCAGCAGTGAAGCCTTTGTGTGTTCTTCACGGGAAAAACGGCCCTTCTGGTAAATGATTTCATTCCAGTCTACTCAGTGTTTTGTTTTTTTAATTATGTATGTGTATATGTATTTGGTACATGGTTTTGCCACACAGCTCAGACTTATAGTGGTCCTCTGGTCTCCGCTTCTCTAGCACTGTGATTACAAGCATGCACCACCACACCTGGTTTCAGTGGCTAGCTCAGCACACCTGGGGCTCCAGGGCTGGCACAGCATATGGTACCAGGGATCAAACCCAAGTCTTTGCGCTTGCCAGGCAGGTGCTTAGACCACTAAGCTATCTCCCCAGCCTCACATACTGGTTTTAAGTAAAATTAGATTATTTTTGCAAAGTGCTATTAAATACAAAGTCATATTTTTAAAGAATTGGTTCTTTTGAATAGTTACATCTAAGTACAAATTTATGGATAATAATAGGGAAAGTTTGATTTAACTAAGTGGATTTAAGGAACAATTCCTAACATATATATGTATATAATGATTAATAACCTATATTCAAGCAAATATTCATTGATAGGAAAGAGAAGTGATACGGTAAAATGAAAACTAATGTGACAGTGTAACTGTATGTGTTAATCATTTAACCAGCTAGTAGCTTATTATAAATCATAGATTTTTAAAAAATACTTTGCCTTTTTTACTGGCATGTTTGCAATGCATGAAATTTACACCCATTTGGAGGAATTGGTATATGTGTATTTATCATATGATCATTTTTGATCCCTTTTTCTCTCATTTAAAGTTTTAAAATTTTCATGAGTAGCAATACTAGGTATAAATATGATTTCTGTTCCCTTTTTATTTTGCGTAACAGAGGGTGTAGATTCCTCTCTTGGAAGACCAACAATTGGAACACATTCTGGAAATGTGCATCTGGACAGAAGTAAAAATGACCAAGGATCAGGAAAATCAAATAGTCAGGCAGGAAATAAAAGCTCCAAAAGGAAGCAGGTGGATTTCAACGGTGAAAACATTTTCTGTGATGATGGCAATCAGCCACCTCGACATAAAAGTGTTAAGATGCCTGAAATGTCAGGGGACTTGCGGAAGAAGCCTTTAGCCAGAGCAGCGAAAGGCGGCGCGCGTGCTCCCAGGACCAAGCTGATCAGCGGCCAGACAAGGCTAACGCAGTTTTTTATGCTGTGATTCTGTCTTTGATGTGCTTTAGATGGATACATCTATGAAGCCTTGTTCACCAAAATTATATCTTTAACTTTTAAAACATCAAGTGTAAATAGTGATACTTTATTTTGCCACAAAGTTGTATGTAAAGTTTATCTATTGTTCAAAAATACCACTTAGTCATCATTATGCAGAATTTTCACAGAGTTTAATGCACAGGGGATAAAAAAAACATATCGTTTGGATTATGGGTACATTGTCTTAACACAGCTTTGTTTTAAAAGAGATGTTTAAAATAAGAACACAAACTATAGTAACATGAAGGACTTTTCTCTCCATTGGCAATGAAATGATTTCGTTTTCTTCTGAGAAGATGGTGTAGACCAGCCGGGATCAGGCTTGCCAGCAAGGCCGGTAGACTCTGCCCAGCATACATCTGAGCACTGAAAGAAACAGGGTAAGCTGTTAAAGGAGTAGCATTGCCACACAAAACTAAGGAAAAATTGGCTCCGTATGCTACTGAATAACCACAATTACAGTAACTAGAAGCTTTTCTAGTTCATATTTCTGACAGGGGCCACTTAATATCAACTAGAATTGAACCATGGTCATATTTAATTGTGTTATGATTATATCCAGGCTCATTTAAACTCAGAGTTCTTGTATGGTATTGAGATAATAAGAATTGAGTTTTCAAAAGATTACTCACTGTCAAAATCTCTCCTTCCTATTGGAAATTTAGCTGAGTTTTCTTCATCCCCAATTTCTCTCTTTTCTTGTGTTGATTCAGTATTCTGCACTCCATTTTCAGCCGGAAGAGCTACAGCTCCTTTCAGTGCAAGATAAGGCTTTAGAGCCAGGTTCAGTGGCAGACCATGGTTCATGAAATTATGGTTGGAGCCTGTGTTCTGTGAAGAGAAAATTAATTCATGTTTTAGCTGTCTTCTTTGGAGTGGGTCTGTGATACTGTTGTGCGACATCCTTATTGATCAGTTTAGACATGCTCTGGACTGCTTCTGACTCTTTAAAGATACCTTAGATAAAAGTTTATTGCAAGTAAACCCTTGGATAAGAAGCATTCTTTAGGATGGGTAAACCACCCAGTCTGCATGAAATTTCATCAGTTGTCCTAATGCAGAGTATGATTATTTGTATATATTCCTTTTTATAAAACAAACAAATGCCAATTTTCCCTTTTTTTGAGGATTTACATAAACCATTTCCACTGCAATAAAGACAAGCTGCACTTCCACTTACCTTTGAATTTTTGTTGTCCTCATCATTCACGAAACCACTCTCATCATTTTTGTATTGATCCAGAGAAGGAGCGACAACCGATCTTTCAGCAGTATCTTCCTTCTGAAAGGTCTTCCCCATCCTAAATGTATTAAATACCATGTCATCTTCCAAATTCTTTATGGACTTGGAAGCTGAAAGTAGAATACCTTGAGAAAACAAAGAAAAAATTAGTATTAATGTGTAGGAAGAGAGACTCATCTTTGCCATTCGTAGCTCAATATTTGTGTAAAACTGAACAAGTATTTATAAATTGAAGAAAAATTTTGCAGTCAGCTTGCTTGCTATGTGATTCCCTTTATATATTTTCCAGCTTGAATAGAAAACACTTCAAAGACTTATCCTTTCATCATTTTAGAAGTGACTCACCCGACAAAGGCTGACTTTTGTATAGCTGCTAATACCCGCATTGTCTTGGTTTTAGTGGCATAGTGTTTATTTCCAGTGCGTTTTCTCAGCCTCTGATTATGACCCTTGAGAGAAGGCTGGCTGCTGAGCAGATTATGGTCTCTTGAATACAGGTTGTTATTAAGGAAGTCCACAGGACTGCAGGCTTGCTTGGTGCTACTGTTTCCTTCTGTGTATTTTCTGAGTAAGTTATTAAAACTCAAGTGTCTTCACTCAAAGATGATAAGGATGAAAGTTTTATTTCCTTTTAATCCTGATTACATTGAAATAATCTTCAGAAAGGATTTCATTATATAAATACTTGTTAGTCTTTGGTGATTAAAGTACATGCACTTGTCAGTGTGTACAAAAGACCATTCATTCTTCATCCAAGGCAACCCATCAGATGTGTTCATCTCTGTGTTTATAGAAGGGCAGCGCTCATATTTACTAGTGAAGTTAGCATTTAATGAGTAAGAAGCCCATGAAAAGAATACCTGTGTGCTCTGGGAAAAAAAAATATATATATATCTGATGTGCATATCAGATATATATATATATATATATATATATATATATATATCTGTATGTGCATATATATGTATATATATATTTTTTTTTTAATTTAGTAAAGGGTCTATGGGGTACAGGGTCTGTAGGGTCTCACTATGTAGATCCAACTCGTAGTGATTCTCCTGTTTTCAGCCTCCCGAGTGCTGGGATTACAGGTGGGTGCCACCACGCCCAGTCTCAATCGCCTTCTCAGTGCACCCTGGGGGTGGGGCCAGCACAGCATGCCGGGGATTGAACCCCGGCCGTTGTGCTCTGCCTAAGCAGGTGCTTTTAGTCCACTGAGCTATTTGTCTGGCCTTCTATAAATATTAATGTTGGATGTTGTATGGTATTTAATAACCCACTTCAGAGTTAATTTCTAATTTTGATCCTAATGAGTCAGAGTGTATATCATAGCACGAACTATTTTCATAGGGTATCTTCCTAACTGGAGTTGCTGGGTCGTGGAGGATGTATGTCGTTAGCGCTGCTGGTGCCGAGATGTGTGGCAGAATTCCATAGCCAGTTCATGCTCCTGCCCTGCCAACACGGATGAGAATTCCTCTTGCTCCATACTGACCAATGTGAGGCTACCTCATTGTCCTTTCATTTCTGTTTCCCAGATTATCAAAGAGATTGAATGTCTTTTCATATTCTTATAAGCCTTTTATTTTGCTTCTTAATAAATTCCTTCTCTTCCTTTATCCATTTTTCTATGGGGTTGACCTTTTCTAATTGATTTATAGGAGTTCTTTATATAATATCCCAAATATTAATTACTTGTTAGCTGTATGTGTTGCAGATATTTTCTCTCCATGTTTGGCTTGTCTTTTCAACCTCCTGATGATTTCAGTGAACAAAGTGCTTAATTTTAACGTTTAACCTTTCTTTCATGGTTAGTACTTCTAAAATATTCTGTTTTAGAAATTCTTCCCAACTCTGAGGGTACTTACATACTTTCATGTTTTTTTCTTTAAGAGCTTAAATGTTTTGATTTTTCACACTGAAATTCTTGATTCATCTTGAGGCTGTGTGTGATGTTGGACAGAGAGTTTTTTGCCAGTGTCCTCACAGATTTCTTGGGTAGTTCATCCTTCCCAGTGAGCTCCAGAGCCACCTGGGACTTCTCTGGTTCCCTCATCTGTGTGGGTCCCTTTCGGGACTCTTGATTCCATGCTCATTTCTGCAGTCTTCATAGTGACTTTATGCCTTCATAAGGAAGGAGGTAAGGTTTCCTGGGCTTCTACTCACCTGACAGTGTTTCTTGGACAGCAGTTTCATTGTGCTATAGTCAGGGTTTACAAGGGAAAGGACTGACTGCAGGACACGTGATTCATAGGATAATAGATAATATTCACCCAAAATGCCAAATGCAGAAGAATGTAGGAGGATCTGTCCACACTCTAGAGACCAGAAAATCCAGCTGAGGGCATGGGTCCTATGACAATGTTCTGTATGAGTCCAACTGAAGACCTGGAGTCCATGGCAACATCCTCCACGAGTCCAGCTAAAGGCCTAGAGCCTGTGATAACATCTCTTGTACATATGTGTCATTTGTTAATCTTTTGGGGTTTTTTGAGACAAAGTCTTATGCAATGCATGCTGGTCTTGAACTCACTTGTAGCCCAGACTGGCCTCAAACTTGTGGTGATCCTGCTGTTTCAGCCTCCCATGTGCTGGATTTACAGGTGTGTGCAACAATGCCCCACTTAAATTTGTTGTAAATGGTAACTTTTTTTTGGTGGTACCAAGGATTGAACTCAGGATGTTGTGCTTGCCAGGCAAGCTCTTATTCTACTGAGCTATCTCCCTGGCCCAGTAAATGGTAACTTTTAAAAAAATGATTCTTTTTTTTTTTTTTTAAAAACATTACTGCTGGTGTGTACAAATGCAGGCATTTACATAAATGACCTGTCATAGAAAAACTTTTTATACAATATTTTTTTCCTATGAAGTCAGTTGATTTAAACAATAAAGTAATGGCATTGTATTTCTTCCTTGTAAGTTTGTTTGATGGGTGTGTGTGTGTGTGTGTGTGTGTGTGTATGTATGTTCTCACTAGCCAACACCTGAAGGAGGGCTTGGAAAGGGAGATAACAGACATCCTTGCAGTATGAGGGATTGCACAGAGAATGAGTTTAGTATTTCACCATCGCAGTGCGGTATTTGCCAAAGGTTTCTCATGGACGCTACGGTGTAGAATACTCTATTTCTGACTTGCTAGTACTTTTGTAATGAATAGTTGAATCTTACTTAATGCTTTTACTGTATTATGTTCTTGATCTAATTATGTCATTTTCTCCTTTAATCTTTAGTAAATTAATAATTTTTCTAATGTTAAACCAACTACGTGTTCATGAAACAGCTTCACTTACACTCAATTTGGCAGTATTTGATTTGACACATTTTGTATTAAGAGTGAGATTGATTTGTAATTTCCCTTATATTGATTTGGTTTGGGTTTGACATGGTTTTACTAAATTCATAAAATGAAGAGAGTGACAAGCTTATTCTTTTTCTTCTATTATTAAACTATTTGGGCTCGTGTTTTCTTTGATTAATTTAAATGATTGGCTTGTTTTCCTCAGAAGCTGTAGAAATATTTTGCTTCCCTGCTTCTTTATAAAGAATTTACATTTTTCTATAGTTTGTCCATTTCACTCAACACAGATTTTATCAGAGGTAGATATAATTAGCTGTTGATTCACTTGGGGACTATTTAAATCTTAGTGGCAAACATTTTCTATGTCTGCTTGTAAACAAAAGACTGGAAATGTCTGGAATCTTCACTCTTCGGGTCCCCTTGTCTGTATAATGTGGGTGGTATCCTCGTTTGTTTTTGAGACCTGAAACCTGCTTTGGAGACTCCTGTTTAACCTACAGATGTGCTTGTTAATGGTCCCCTTTTTTTCTTAGCTGCTGTGCTGGGACTGTAATAAATATTAATAATTATGTGTTTTAAGTTTCCACTGGATAAATTGGTTTGGCTGGTCTTCACTCAAAATTGGGATCAAATCCAAGCCATTTTGACGGTTTAGAGAAATTAGTTAATGTTTTCCTTTATTTTGCTGAAATTGTCATATCCTCTGAGCACTATGAGGGTTTCCCGTAACCATTTAATTATGGAGATAGTGTCCAATTTTCTTAAATGATAACTTTTTTTCACCATTGGTTACTCTGATGTGCAATGAAGCGTGCATTTCTTTTTCATTGATGCTGAAGATGAAATGTCCCCAAGTGATAGAAAGAGACTTTGAAGGAGAAAAACTTTTGCCAGGTGGGCTTGGGTGGCTTAGGAAGCCGTGGGAAGTCGCAAGGTCCGTGTCACATGTGATCATTGTTTTCTGATTGCTACACTTTGGCACCATATATTTATAAAGCATTTTATTGAACTTCTTTTTCTTCCGATTAACTTATCTTTGCTATATACTGCTAATAAATTTGCTGTAAATCAAATGCCAATGGCTAAAGGCCAAATTTTTTGATGGCCAGATTTAGGAGTAAAAGCCAAGATTGTTCACCTCCGTGACCCAAAGCCACAAGGAAACTTAGCTCTTTCTGTAGCTTCATGAACAGCCCATATGCCTTCCCCGGGTTCCACCATTAACTTTTCATGTTTCCATTCCTACCAGGTGTGATGGCACACACCTCTGTTCCTTCTGCCCTGCCGTTGATCATAATTTTATTTTATTTTGTATTTTAAGGAAGAGCCTACAGGTGTTCAGGGTCTCACTACTAGATCAGACTCCTAGTGATCTACCTGTTTACAGCCTCCCAAGAGCTGAATTACAGGCATGCGCCACCACACCCAGTCTCAGTGTGCCCCGGGGGCAAGGCCAGCGTGGCAGGCCTGGGGATGGAACCCCTGGCCCCTGGGCCTGCTTGCAGGCGCTTTAATCTGCTGAGCTATTTGGCCGGCCCTCATTCATCATGATTTTAAATGGATTTCAAAGTAGGTTGCGTAGATCAGTGTGCTTCCCATGAAACTGGGATTTAATACTTGTTGACAGTTTTTCTAGTGAGGTTAATTTTACAGAAAGTGAAATGCCTCCACTTTGTGCATGTATTCTCTGAGTTCTGGCAAATGTGTGCACCTGTATAACCTGAACATTTTTACAAAATACAGGGTATTGCCATTACCTGGTAATTTTTGGCTTACCTTTCATAGTTTTTCTGTAACAGTATCCCGCACTGTCCCTCACTCTAACCCTCTGCTCCGGAGCAATAGCTGCTCTAACTTTTTCACTGCAAATTCTGTGTTCTGTGAAAGCTTTACTTATCCCCAACACATGAAGATGGTTTCTTACACTTTATCTAAAAGCTTTTATGTTTTGGCCTTTCAGTCTGTGTTCTGCTTCACATTAATTTCTGTGTATGCATGGGGTGAGGTCCAGGTTCCTTTGTTCAGTAGAAATCAAACCATTTCTACATGTTTGCTGGAAAGATTTTTCCTTCTTCCATGTCCAGGTCAAAAATTAAATGACAAAATTAAAGAAACTCTATCTTGAGGCTGTGTAATTAATATTTTTTACCATGTTTTTTGGCATACTTGAAAATTACAAAAAGTAGATTTTAAGTTTTTTGAGGTAGGTTTTTTAAATATCAACTTGTCTGGTTTTATATAATCTTGAAGTCAAGAGTGTAAATGGCTTAACTTGGTTTATTTTCAGGACTGCATTGACGCCCTACTTCTCAACATGCTCATCTCTGGGGTCACAGATTATAATTTGCGATCCAGTTGGAATTAAAATCGCAGTCAGTAACAGAAAAATAATAGAAAGGCTATAAACATTTAGAAATTAAGCAGTATATTTTTGGATAATGTTTGCCTTAATAGGGCTGAGGAGATAGTTTGGT